GAGAATGCTATTCATTGACTACAGCTCAGTATTCAACACCATAGTGCCCTCTAAGCTCATCACTAAGCTAAGGATCCTGGGACTAAACACCTCCCTCTGCAACTGGATCCTGGACCTCCTGACGGGCCGCCCCCAGGTGGTAAGGGTAGGTAACAACACATCTGCCACACTGATCCTCAACACGGGGGCACCTCAGGGGTGCGTGCTCAGTCCCCTCCTGTACTCTCTGTTCACCCATGACTGCATGGCCAGGCACAACTCCAACACCATCATTAAGTTTGCCGACGACACAACAGTGGTAGGCCTGATCACCGACAACGATGAGACAGCCTATAGGGAGGAGGTCAGAGACCTGGCCGTGTGGTGCCAGGACAACAACCTCTCCCTCAACGTGACCAAGACAAAGGAGATGATTGTGGACTACAGGAAAAAGGACTGAGCACACCCCCATTCTCATCGACGGGGCTGTAGTGGAACAGGTTGAGAGCTTCAAGTTCCTTGGTGTCCACATCACCAACGAACTATCATGGTCCAAACACACCAAGACAGTCGTGAAGAGGGCACGACAAAGCCTATTCCCCCTCAGGAGACTGAAAAGATTTGGCATGGGTCCTCAGATCCTCAAAAAATTCTACAGCTGCACCATCGAGAGCATCCTGACTGGTTGCATCACCGCCTGGTATGGCAACTGCTTGGCCTCCGACCGCAAGGCACTACAGAGGGTAGTGCGTACGGCCCAGTACATCACTGGGGCCAAGCTTCCTGCCACCCAGGACCTCTATACCAGGCGGTGTCAGAGGAAGGCCCTCAAAATTGTCAAAGACTCCAGCCACCCTAGTCATAGACTGTTCTCTCTGCTACCGCACGGCAAGCGGTACCGGAGTGCCAAGTCTAGGTCCAAAAGACTTCTCAACAGCTTCTACCCCCAAGCCATAAGACTCCTGAACAGCTAATCATGGCTACCCGGACTATTTGCACTTCCCCCCCCCACCCCATCCTTTTTACGCTGCTGCTACTCTGTTAATTATTTATGCATAGTCACTTTAACTCTACCCACATGTACATATTACCTCAACTACCTCAACTAGCCGGTGCCCCCGCACATTGACTCTGCAACGGTACCCCCCTGTATATATAGCCTCCCTACTGTTACTTTATTTTACTTCTGCTCTTTTTTTTCTCAACACTTTTTTTGTTGTTGTTTTATTTTTACTTTTTTTGTTAAAAATAAATGCACTGTTGGTTAAGGGCTGTAAGTAAGCATTTCACTGTAATGTCTGCACCTGTTGTATTCGGCGCATGTGACCAATACAATTTGATTTGATTTGATTTGATTTAATCTCCAAGCTGACTAGGTGAAAAATCTTCCGATGTGCCCTTGAGCAAGGCACTTAACCCTAATTGCTCCTGTAAGTCACTCTGGATAAGAGCGTCTGCTAATTAATTTTTTTAAAGTAAATGTTCCGAAAGCACATTCAACCGCGTCTCAGTATGAGTGTGATGAACGGACCATTCATTATCAGTGTTTCTCTTAATATATTTCAAGGTTTTATTAGTTATTTCTAGCTTTCAATGCAGATTTCTGACAATCACGAACAATAGAAAATATGTTATAAAATGTTGCTTCCTCTACAGGGTTTACTCAAGATTGGAAATGATTGAGCTGTCAATCAAAGGTGGGACCTAAGTGATTTGCACACTTCTGATTGGTTAGGTCAGTAAACAGCGCTGTAATCAATGCTTATTTACGACACAACAATTAGCTCTCTGGTTGAATGCAACAGGTCTGTTTAATCCTGGAGGTCCATTCGGGTCATGGGATTGGAGCCCAGAACACGCAGACGTCACGGGGTCACCTGCTGGGCACCCCGTCACACCCCGTCCCCCCGTCCTCTCAACTCATTAGAATTGTATGTTGAGAGCAGGAGGTTCATTCAGCTCAATGACACCCAGGCTGTGTCCCAAATGGCACCCTATGCTCTGACATGGACCCAGTCACCCACAGTCCCTGTTTGAGCCTCCACCACACTCTTAGAAAAAGAGTAGCCATTTAACAATTGTATTTATTGCTCCATATACAAAATCTTACATGAAACAAATTATGTACATGCAAAATATCCATCTTGAAATATTTCAAACATTTTAGTGCTAGTTAGATACACAGTCCAGGGAAACCTACTCAGACAATTGTCTACCTGAGATACAGGAGAACGGACTATTGTTGGATATGGTAGCCATTTATTCCTTGTTAGAGACAAAAATGTACCTCTACCATACACAGTTAAACTGGTACAGCACTTCTACTCACGGGTGGTCAAAAATAACTAACAATGTTACGCCCCCACTAAGCCTCCAATATACTTTCCCAGTGTGCCTTGCCTTTTTGAGTGAATTGTAGAGTTACCACCCATGACTGCATGTGTTAGTGACAGAGACATGGTTGTTGAATTTGTTTATGTTCAGTCCTGTGGCTATCACCAAGTGAGTTCCTACGCAAATGTTATAATTAAAATGACTCTTTATGACAATACATTATAGACAGGCCTTTTTTTTTTGGTGCCTAGTTTAGCCTTATACAGGGGTCTGAAACTCATGGTTTACAAGCCTGCAAGTAATAATATAATAATATGCCATTTAGCAGACGCTTTTATCCAAAGCGACTTACAGTCATGTGTGCATAAATATTTACGTATGGGTGGTACTGGGGATCGAACCCACTACCCTGGAGTTACAAGCGCCATGCTCTACCAATTGAGCTACAGAGGACCACAAAAACATAAATAAAGTAAGGTTGCAAAATTCCAGTAACTTATCCAAAATTCCCCAAAATCCTGGTTTAAGGACTCCAGATTTCCTGCTTATTCCCACCTGTTTCCAGGAAGTTCCCAACTGGGATATCTGTAAAGCTACCAGAGTTTTGCAAGCCTACCTGCGAGTCACATTATGCTGGTTTGCAAAGTGAGGTGTACTTTCTATTGGAATCCAGCCAGTGCTAGGATATCTAAAAGTTTGAATTTTTATTCACCTGCAACCTGCATTCAGAATGACTGCCAGAGTTAGGTATATTGTGAGGAGACTACCTAAGCCATTTAAACTGGAACAACCATTTCACTAACATCTGCTAAATGCAAAAACACAGATATTAAAAACTATTCTAAAAAAATCTACCTGCAGTCGTGCATGCAGGGAAATATGATAATGATGTGCGTGGTTTTGCCTAACTAGCCTAACTTCTTTAAATGTGTCAGGGCTAAAATGTTGCTGTGTTCGCGTCACATTAGCCTCAAATGGTCACCTCATTCGGATAAAGAGTACATTTACCTTGTTTTGTATTCCTGCTGCTGGCTGGCTGAGGCTCACTCCAGGCTGTCAGTTGTCACTTCACTTTTCAGAGAGTAAGGGCCAGGGTGTTGACTTCGGATCCGCAGTGTGATTGGTCAATAATCTAACGCAGCTTTTAACACATTAATTTCAGGAATTGACAAAAAAATGGTTGAAAAATACACATTTTCTAAGAGTGCACAATGCCACCAGCACCCTGCCACCCTGACACGGCTCAGCCACAACCAAAGGATTTGAGATAGATCTGTCGTTTTAGCATGGAGGTTAATTATGAGAACAGTGAATAAAGTGGACGATAGTTTAAGCCCTACAATATTACTTCTTTAAAGCATAAGATGGAATGGGCAGAGCTAGGGGATTTGTGCTCATTTACTTCAGGGTAGAGGCAAGTTAATCCCAGTGAAATGAACAGCATATGTTTCTTCTCTTTTGAGGCAAGGAAAATAATGGTGGATATTTTGCATATAGTAGTACCATATTTAGACTTCCAGAAATTGATGAGTGTTTTTCTACATACATTACAATGTGTTTTCTATGGCAATGCTTGACAATGTAATTTAGACAATGATGTTATAAGTAGCCCCCTGGGTTATAGGTAATGTTATAACTAACCCTAAACTACAATAACATTATACTGTTGCGCTGACAGAACATTACAGTGAATAATGAGTACAGTTTTTTTTGTTAATCATAGTTCTAATCTACCTCTCCAAAAACAGCTCTTAGCAAGCCTCCAGTGTCTGCGCCTCTGGTCGTTGACTCTGTGCAAACATATGGCATGTTAATGTTAAAACAGGATGATAAAGCATAATTGAAGTTAATCAGAAGCAGAAGAGGGGATTTGTAGTCGGAGTACAGCTCAGAGACCAGGGGAGCGCCTCCAGTGAGGTATATATAAGAAAGGAGCCAGCCCACCTAAATGAAAGACACAGAGCATCATTATGTTGGTTGTTTGAAATACTTCACAGCTTTTATCTGGATTGTTATTATAGTTCTATGGTCATTGTCTGTAGTCAGCAGGGTTTGGGAGACCTTACATGTTGACATTTCTCATGAGTTAAGCTTCAATTCCACATGAATAAATATTTCAAATCAATGCAACAAGAAGAGAGAGGCTAGCAGAAAACCACAGGCTCTACTAAAAGTGTTGTGTATTAACCACTCTCCCCCTGTGTCTTTTTACCGCCTCCGGAGCAACTTTCCTAACGGAAAACACTCCTCAATATGTGACATTTTGGAGACTGTTTGAAGCTCCAGTTTAGTCTAAATTACTGCTTAGGGAACAGATTTGGCAAGGCTATATATCTCTTGTAAATGAGGATAGAGAAGGCCTCAAAGCGCATCATGTCCCTTAATGGCAGATTGCATGGGTGTTGTTGGGTCTGAAATAGTGTTTCAAGGCATCAGTTTCATGTGCCAGCTGGCACTATCATTGTTTATTCCTAACAACTGGTTTGCTAATTCAAAAGCTGCCTAAACTGAGAGACATTGATTGAAAGTTCCTGTATAATTCCACCATCATTAAGATGAGGTTTTCACTTTTTTTGCAACAATCTTTAATATGTTTCGGGCATTAATCATATGATGAATGTTTCGGTTGTTGTTGTTGTTGTCATTGTCTCTGCTAGTGGCTTATCTCCCTCTCTCTTTCTCACCAGATAGTCCATCGGACTGCGGTCCCCAGTGCACTGGCCCTGGATTGGATAGGGAAAAACCTGTACTGGTGTGACATCGAGAGGAAGAGCCTGGAGGTGTCTAAAGCTAACGGCCTGTACCCCTCTGTACTGGTCAGCACTGGTATCAGGAATCCTACTGACCTGGCCCTGGATCCACAGTCAGGGTACTGTATCAGACACATTGACCTCTAACCCTAACCACACTGACCTGGCCCTGGATCCACAGTCAGGGTACTGTATCAGACACATTGACCTCTAACCCTAACCACACTGACCTGGCCCTGGATCCACAGTCAGGGTACTGTATCAGACACATTGACCTCTAACCCTAACCACACTGACCTGGCCCTGGATCCACAGTCAGGGTACTGTATCAGACACATTGACCTCTAACCCTAACCCCACTGACCTGGCCCTGGATCCACAGTCAGGGTACTGTATCAGACAATTGGGACCTCTAACCCTAACCCCACTGACAACTTAGACAAACACTCAAGAACGCCTACACACTAAGCTGGACTGTCCGACTTTCAGCAGACAGGAGGCTTGTCATGAAGGTCCCTTCATGTTAGGACTCAATCTAGAAGAAAGTTTATTTACATGTCAAATCACCTATTGGTGACACCACCCTTATGGGATTACTTGGCACATTGTTAAACAAATGTAATATTAAATAATGACTGTAAGTCACTCTGGATAAGAGTGTCTGCTAAATGACTAAAATGTAAATGTAAAATGTGATCATATACGGAGCAGTCTACTTTTACACCTGAGGGTTTTTCCAACGCTGAACACTAACTTTGTTTTTTTCATTGTCATTTTCCTGATGTTAACCTACCATTCTGAAGATGTTTTGTAAGTGACACCTTGTAAGACCTCTCCACATTCCTCCCTGTGTAGGTATGCATTCTGGGTGGACTGCTGTGAATCCCCTCACATCAGTCGTGTGGGCATGGATGGTCGAGGGCAGGTCGTTATCATCAACAAAGAGATCTACAGCCCCACTGCCCTCACTATAGATTACACCAACAAGAGGCTGTACTGGGCAGATGACAACCACATTCTGTTCGCCAACATGGACGGCTCACAGAGACACAAAGGTAAGGCAGAATATAATGTTGGACCTTTTCCACTATAAGGATATGTGATTAATCAGGGTTTGTACCCGGGTCTCCTGCGCACCACAAGACCATTTCAGCTCGCTGAGCCAAAGCCTACGCATTAGATTGGGAGCTAACGCAAATCTTGAGGTCTCAGGCTAGGTTACTCATCACAAAAGTGTGATTGTCAAGCCACCTCCATTACACGTGTATGGTGTGTTTTTGTGAGATGTGCTCTCACTTTGCTCATCAACTTGTGATGAAAATTTTTATGTTGTTGCTTTTCTATTGTATACATGTGCTGTTCTAATAACCAATTTCTGTGTTCATGCAAGTAACTGAACAGACAAATCCTCACTTATCAGTATCTGCAATTTGGCAGTACGCCCAGACCTTGTTTTGAGAACGAAAGATATCTCAGTTTCAAGGTCTCATCTTAGAGAGAAGAAGCCTCATGAGGTATTGGTCTGTCACATTATGAACCAGTATTGGTCGGTCACATGAATGCAACAAAAGGGTAATGATGAATTTATTATGCTAAATCATGCAAATATAACTTGTCTGTGTATAGCCGTATATTAGACAACTGCTGGGACGGCCCCAGCAGAGCTGCTGATTGACATGTGTACAATGGTGCAATGAGTTGGTTGGAACCTATCCAGCGCGCTGACAATAAATGATGATTCCTTTTTTTTTAGGGGGTAGATCAGCTTTAATATTGTAGATAGATTGTAACTTCCATCATCCCCCATATGTTATTTTTTCTCACAAATATACAGTGGGGGAAAAAAGTATTTAGTCAGCCACCAATTGTGCAAGTTCTCCCACTTAAAAAGATGAGAGAGGCCTGTAATTTTCATCATAGGTACACGTCAACTATGACAGACAAATTGAGAAAAAAATCCAGAAAATCACATTGTAGGATTTTTAATGAATTTATTTGCAAATTATGGTGGAAAATAAGTATTTGGTCACCTACAAACAAGCAAGATTTCTGACTCTCACAGACCTGTAACTTCTTCTTTAAGAGGCTCCTCTGTCCTCCACTCGTTACCTGTATTAATGGCACCTGTTTGAACTTGTTATCAGTATAAAAGACACCTGTCCACAACCTCAAACAGTCACACTCCAAGCTCCACTATGGCCAAGACCAAAGAGCTGTCAAAGGACACCAGAAACAAAATTGTAGACCTGCACCAGGCTGGGAAGACTGAATCTGCAATAGGTAAGCAGCTTGGTTTGAAGAAATCAACTGTGGGAGCAATTATTAGGAAATGGAAGACATACAAGACCACTGATAATCTCCCTCGATCTGGGGCTCCACGCAAGATCTCACCCCGTGGGGTCAAAATGATCACAAGAACGGTGAGCAAAAATCCCAGAACCACACGGGGGGACCTAGTGAATGACCTGCAGAGAGCTGGGACCAAAGTAACAAAGCCTACCATCAGTAATACACTACGCCGCCAGGGACTTAAAATCCTGCCGTGCCAGACGTGTCCCCCTGCTTAAGCCAGTACATGTCCAGGCCTGAAGTTTGCTAGAGTGCATTTGGATGATCCAGAAGAGGATTGGGAGAATGTCATATGGTCAGATGAAACCAAAATATAACTTTTTGGTAAAAACTCAACTCGTCGTGTTTGGAGGACAAAGAATGCTGAGTTGCATCCAAAGAACACCATACCTACTGTGAAGCTTGGGGGTGGAAACATCATGCTTTGGGGCTGTTTTTCTGCAAAGGGACCAGGACGACTGATCCATGTAAAGGAAAGAATGGGGCCATGTATCGTGAGATTTTGAGTGAAAACATCCTTCCATCAGCAAGGGCATTGAAGATGAAACGTGGCTGGGTCTTTCAGCATGACAATGATCCCAAACACACCGCCCGGGCAACGAAGGAGTGGCTTCGTAAGAAGCATTTCAAGGTCCTGGAGTGGCCTAGCCAGTCTCCAGATCTCAACCCCATAGAAAATCTTTGGAGGGAGTTGAAAGACCGTGTTGCCCAGCGACAGCCCCAAAACATCACTGCTCTAGAGGAGATATGCATGGAGGAATGGGCCAAAATACCAGCAACAGTGTGTGAAAACCTTGTGAAGACTTACAGAAAACGTTTGACCTGTGTCATTGACAACAAAGGGTATATAACAAAGTATTGAGAAACTTTTGTTATTGACCAAATACTTATTTTCCACCATCATTTGCAAATAAATTCATTAAAAATCCTACAATGTGATTTTCTGGATTTTTTTCTTCTCATTTTGTCTGTCATAGTTGACGTGTACCTATGATGAAAATTACAGGCCTCTCTCATCTTTTTAAGTGGGAGAACTTGCATAATTGGTATATACAGTGATGGAAAAAAGTATTTGATCCCCTGCTGATTTTGTACGTTTGCCCACTGACAAAGAAATGATCAGTCTATAATTTTAATGGTAGGTTTATTTGAACAGTGAGAGACAGAATAACAACAACAAAAATCCAGAAAACGCATGTCAAAAATGTTAGAAATTGATTTGCATTTTAATGAGGGAAATAAGTATTTGACCCCCTCTCAATCAGAAAGATTTCTGGCTCCCAGGTGTCTTTTATACAGGTAACGAGCTGAGATTAGGAGCACACTCTTAAAGGGAGTGATCCTAATCTCAGCTTGTTACCTGTATAAAAGACACCTGTCCACAGAAGCAATCAATCAGAACCCAAACTCTCCACAATGGCCAAGACCAAAGAGCTCTCCAAGGATGTCAGGGACAAGATTGTAGACCTACACAAGTATGGAATGGGCTACAAGGTCATCGCCAAGCAGCGTGGTGAGAAGGTGACAACAGTTGGTGCGATTATTTGCAAATGGAAGAAACACAAAAGAACTGTCAATCTCCCTCGGCCTGGGGCTCCATGCAAGATCTCACCTCGTGGAGTTGCAATGATCATGAGAACGGTGAGGAATCAGCCCAGAACTACACGGGAGGATCTTGTCAATGATCTCAAGGCAGCTGGGACCATAGTCACCAAGAAAACAATTGGTAAAACACTATGCCGTGAAGGACTGAAATCCTGCAGCACCCGCAAGTTCCCCCTGCTCAAGAAAGCACATATACATGCCCGTCTGAAGTTTGCCAATGAACATCTGAATGATTCAGAGGAGAACTGGGTGAAAGTGTTGTGGTCAGACGAGACCAAAATCGAGCTCTTTGGCATCGGGTCAACTCGCCGTGTTTGGAGGAGGAGGAATGCTGCCTATGACCCCAAGAACACCATCCCCACCGTCAAACATGGAGGTGGAAACATTATGCTTTGGGGGTGTTTTTCTGCTAAGGGGACAGGACAACTTCACTGCATCAAAGGGACGATGGACGGGGCCATGTACCGTCAAATCTTGGGTGAGAACCTCCTTCACTCAGCCAGGGCATTGAAAATGGGTCGTGGATGGGTATTCCAGCATGACAATGACCCAAAACACACGGCCAAGGCAACAAAGGAGTGGCTCAAGAAGAAGCACATTAAGGTCCTGGAGTGGCCTAGCCAGTCTCCAGACCTTAATCCCATAGAAAATATGTGGAGGGAGCTGAAGGGTCGAGTTGCCAAACGTCAGCCTCAAAACACTAATGACTTGAAAAAGATCTGCAAAGAGGAGTGGAACAAAATCCCTCCTGAGATGTGTGCAAACCTGGTGGCCAACTACAAGAAACGTCTGACCTCTGTGATTGCCAACAAGGGTTTTGCCACCAAGTACTAAATCATGTTTTGCAGAGTGGTCAAATACTTATTTCCCTCATTAAAATATAAATCAATTTATAACATTTTTGACATGCGTTCTTCTGGATTTTGTTGTTGTTATTCTGTCTCTCACTGTTCAAATAAACCTACCATTAAAATTATAGACTGATCATGTCTTTGTCAGTGGGCAAATGTACAAAATCAGCAGGGGATCAAATAATTTTTTCCCTCACTGTATATAAATATACATATACATACATATACACATACAGTTGAAGTCGAAAGTTTACATACACCTTAGCCAATTACATTTAAACTCAGTTTTTCACAATTCCTGACATTTAATCCTAGTAAAAATTCCCTGTCTTAGGTCAGTTAGGATCACCACTTTATTTTAAGAATGTGAAATGTCAGAATAATAGTAGAGAGATTGGTTTATTTCAGCTTTTGTTTCTTTCATCATATTCCCAGTGGGTCAGAAGTTTACATACACTCAATTAGTATTTGGTAGCATTGCCTTTAAATTGTTTAATTGGGTCAAACGTTTCGGATAGCCTTCCACAAGCTTCCCACAGTAAGTTGGGTGAATTTTGGCCCATTCCTCCTGACAGAGCTGGTGTAACTGAATCAGGTTTGTAGGCCTCCTTGCTTGCACACACTTTTTCAGTTCTGCCCACAAATTTTCTATAGGATTGAGGTCAGGGCTTTGTGATGGCCACTCCAATACCTTGAGTTTGTTGTCCTTAAGCCATTTTGCCACAACTTTGGAAGTATGCTTGGGGTCATTGTCCATTTGGAAGACCCATTTGCGACCAAGCTGTAACTTCCTGACTGATGTCGTGAGAAGTTGCTTCAATATATCCACATCATTTTCCTTCCTCATGATGCCATCTATTTTGTGAAGTGCACCAGTCCGTCCTGCAGCAAAGCACCCCCACAGCATAATGCTGCCACCCCCGTGCTTCACGGTTGAGATGGTGTTCTTCGGCTTGCAAGTTCTCCCTTTTTCCTCCAAACATAACGATGGTCATTATGGCCAAACAGTTCTATTTTTGTTTCACCAGTCCAGAGGACATCCAAAAAGCACAATCTTTGTCCCCATGTGCAGTTGCAAACCGTAGTCTGGCTTTTTTATGGCAGTTTTGGAGCAGTGGCTTCTTCCTTGCTGAGCGACCTTTCAGGTTATGTCGATATATGACTAGTTTTACTGTGGATATAGATAATTTTGTACCTGTTTCCTCCAGCATCTTCACAAGGTCCTTTGCTGTTGTTCTGGGATTGATTTGCACTTTTCGCACCAAAGTACGTTAATCTCTAGGATACAGAACGCGTCTCCTTCCTGAGCGGTATGGCTGCTGCGTGGTCCCATGGTGTTTATACTTGCGTACTATTGTTTGTACAGATGAACGTGGTACCTTCAGGCGTTTGGAAATTGCTCCCAAGGATGAACCAGACTTGTGGAGGTCTACAATTAATTTTCTGAGGACTTGGCTGATTTCTTTTGATTTTTCCATGATGTCAAGCAAAGAGGCACTGAGTTTGAAGGTAGGCCTTGAAATACATCCACAGGTACACCTCCAATTGATTTTTTTGAATTTTCTGGAATTTTCCAAGCTGTTTAAAGGCACAGTCAACTTATTGTATGTCAACTTCTGACCCACTGGAATTGTGATACAGGGAATTTTAAGTGAAATAATCTGTCTGTAAACAATTGTTGGAAAATAACTTGTGTCATGCACAAAGTAGATGTCCTAACCGACTTGCCAAAACTATAGTTTGTTAACAAGAAATTTGTGGAGTGGTTGAAAAACGAGTTTTAATGACTCCAACCTAAGTGTATGTAAACTTCCGACTTCAACTGTACATACATATAAATACATATACATACATATATATACATATCCTTTTTATAAATATATTTCCCTTCAGTACTTTCCATCCCCACCACCCCTTCCCTAATTGGAGTAAACTAATGAACAACAATGCTTAGGCCTCTACTTCCAGCTTATACATTCTATATAAATTTTATGGACACAGTCAATTTGACAATAATTCTATTTTGTTTGTTTTTACTCCTGAACTTCCTCTACCCTCAACCTCTCCGATCATTTTCATGATGTCCATCCGGTTTGCTTCTATATGCCATATCTTTCTAACTGTGCTCTTTCACAAAAGCTCTCAACCTATAACCTATATTATTATGATGGACACAGTATGCTTTACATTAGTTATCTTGTTGTTATTAGTTGTTAGTTGTTATTAGTCCCATCCTTCAACTCCATTCAACACCACCCATCTATCTCTTAACAACATCCATATTGGATTTCTATTTGCTATATATTTCTCAACTGTACTGTACTGTGAACCTTTCTATTCTTATTGTTTCTACAGATTGTAAATTGAAAATATTTTTTTTTGCTAAAAGTATTATTATATTATTGATCGATTGGCTATGACTTTTCAGATCACCCAGTAGTGCTATGATAATTTACGATTGACTTCGAGTGTCCCTGTGTAAGAATTTCCATGACAAACTAATGATGGGTCTACTTTTTTGTATTGTGTCTCTCTCCAGTTTCCTATGAACACATCCAGGGGGTGATGGGTCTGACACTGTTTGAGGACTTTGTCTACTGGACAGATGGGAAATCCAAGTCACTCCGACGAGCACATAAAACTACTGGGGCCCAAGGAATTGAGCTGCTCAACTCCTGGCAAGCCATCAAATCCGTCAAAGTTTACCATTCACTACGCCAACCTGAAGGTAGAGTAACCCACCCAGCACAGCAGTCCCCTCACCTACCCACCTGCCAACACATAGCCATGGACATATACTCTGTGATTACAGAGGTTATTACAATTATATAGTTTATGATATCATTATATAGGATGTGATTAGATAAGGCATGGTATTAAGAATGTGGCTAATGTTCTATTTAATTATGTTGTCATTTCGGTTTTGTCCTCCCCCACCCTCTCTTTCTCTCTACCCCCTCTCTATCTGTGCAGTGCCCAAGCACCAGTGTCAGGTGGCCAATGGAGGATGCAGCCACTTGTGTCTCCTTTCTCCCGGCGGGGAACACAAATGTGCTTGTCCAACTAATTTCTACCTTGCTGCTGACAGCAAGACCTGCCTCTCCAACTGCACTGCAAGTCAGGTCAGTGCCTATCCCCTCTCACACGCCTCAGCACTTGTAGATATGGTAACTCTTTTTGCACAGTCTATTATTCTATTCTGTTTTCCCTCAAGGCAGATCTGCTGTTTCATGCCTTTTCTCTTTGTTTATCACACTCTCCCTTCTTTCCTGCCATGCTTCTGTAGCTTAAGTCCCGTAAAAATAGTAGTTGCTTGTTTTGCTTTGCTTTGAACAACAGTTTTTGTGTTAAGTTAGAATTCTGTCTGGTTAATTTGTGTATTCTGTAGTTCCGCTGCGGGACCGACGAGTGTATTCCTTTCTGGTGGAAGTGTGACACTGTTGATGATTGTGGCGATGGATCAGATGAGCCTGCTGACTGTCGTGAGTATCATGTTTTCTCATTTCATACCAACTATGCATTACTGGACTTCCTGGGGATGCTGGTATGTTAGGCTACATTCACACTGAGCAAATTTAGGGGTTTTAATCTATTATAATCGTGTCAGTCAGCGCGGCTATAGTAGGAATTGATTGTAGCTTAGTGTTAAATTAAAATCTCCCTACCATCATATCTAAACCAATACGACACCAATGTCAATAACACTTTGCAAATCAACTTGATTGGAGGTACACGACACACTCCGGACGTTACTGAGAACCACATACCGGATTTTTAACAGGGCTGTTAGAATTAGGAAAGAAATAGAATTACTTGCCTCGACCTAGCTCAACATCTAGGCGTTGGATAAGAACGAGACTACAGCGTCCATAAAGTAACCATTAGACTTGCCACCTTTCGGACTGAATAAGTTTGTAGTGGTAACAGTTTTGATAAAATTGATAATTTATCGCTCTCAGGTGCCCATTTCTGTACATTAAGAACCAATGATGTGCTAACTTTTTGTAGCATTTCTGACACTGCTAACATATTTTTTAGCCAAAGCTCAGAGTTCTAACACCGGGACCAACAACTATGTTGCTAGTAGCAGGATAGCAGCTGTAGCTAGCTAGCTAACACCAGTCAGATGAGAAGCAAGCTACAAGCAAAGGAAGTAAGCTAGCTGGGTATATTTTGCTGTAGAAGGTTTTTCATATGGCTGAAGTCATCTGTGTAAACTAAATCAGAGCATAAACAAATAAGCTAGCGAACGTCCTTGGCCGCTATTATAGCCAGTTAGCTAGCCAACTAGCCAGTAGTTACAAGCCAACGAGACTGTGCCATAGCTGAATAGATCGTGCATCAACCACAACTCAATGTTGACAATATATCTTAGTTAGCTAAATTCTTCCATAGAGCATACAGTACCTTGCGAAAGTATTCACCCCCTTGGCATTTTTCCTATTTTGTTGCCTTACAACCTGGAATTAAAATGGATTTTTGGGGGGTTTGTATCATTTGATTTACACAACATGCCTACCACTTTGAAGATGCAAAATAAAAAAATTTGTGAAACAAACAAGAAATAAGACAAAAAACAGAAAACTTGAGCGTGCATAACTATTTACCCCACCAAAGACAATACTTTGTAGAGCCAACTTTTGCAGCAAATAAAGCTGCAAGTCTCTTGGGGTATGTCTCTATAAGCTTGGCACATCTAGCCACTGGGATTTTTGCCCATTCTTCAAGGCTAAACTGTTCCAGCTCCTTCAAATTGGATGTGTTCTGCTGGTGTACAGCAATCTTTAAGTCATACCACAGATTCTCAATTGGATTGAGGTCTGGGCTTTGACTAGGCCATTCCAATACATGTAAATGTTTCCCCTTAAACCACTCGAGTGTTGCTTTAGCAATATGCTTAGGGTCGTTGTCCTGCTGGAAGGTGAACCTCCGTCCCAGTCTCAAATCTCTGGAAGACTGAAACAGGTTTCCCTCAAGAATTTCCCTGTATTTAGCGCCATCCATCATTCCATCAATTCTGACCAGTTTCCCAATCCCTGCCGATGAAAAACTTCCCCACAGCATGATGCTGCCACCACCATGCTTCACTGTGGGGATGGTGTTCTCGGGGTGATCAGAGGTGTTGGGTTTGTGCCAGACATAGCGTTTTCCTTGATGGCCAAAAAGCTCAATTTTAGTCTTGTCTGACCAGAGTACCTTCTTCCATATGTTTGGGGAGTCTCCCACATGCCTTTTGGCGAACACCAAACGTGTTTGATTATTTTTTAATCAATGGCTTTTTTTCTGGCCACTCTTCCGTAAAGCCCAGCTCTGTGGAGTGTACGGCTTAAAGTGGTCCTATGGACAGATACTCCAATCTCTGCTGTGGAGCTTTGCAGCTCCTTCAGGGTTATCTTTGGTCTCTTTGTTGCCTCTCTGTTTAATGCCCTCCTTGCCTGGTCCGTGAGTTTTGGTGGGCAGCCCTCTCTTGGCAGGTTTGTTGTGGTGCCATATTCTTTAAATTTTTTAATAATGGATTTAATGGTGCTCCATGGGATGTTCAAAGTTTTGGATATGTTTTTATAACCCAACCTTGATCTGTACTTCTCCACAACTTTATCCCTGACCTGTTTGGAGAGGTCCTTGGTCTTCATGGTGCCGCTTGCTTGGTGGTGCCCCTTGCGTAGTGGTGTTGCAGACTCTGGGGCTTTTCAGAACAGGTGTATATATACTGAGATCATGTGACAGATCATATGACACTTAGATTGCTCACAGGTGGACTTTATTTAACTAATTATGTGACTTCTGAAGGTAATTGGTTGCACCAGATCTTATTTAGAGGCTTCATAGCAAAGGGGGTGAATACATATGCACACACCACTTTTCCGTTAATAATGTTTTAGAATTTTTGGAAAAAAGTTTATTTATTTATTTCACTTCACCAATTTGGACTATTTTGTGTATGTCCATAACATGGAATCCAAATAAAAATCAATTTAAATTACAGGTTGTAATGCAACAAAATTGGAAAAACGCCAAGGGAGATGAGTACTTTTGCAAGGCACTGTAGCTAGCTAAGTAAAGTTCATAGTCAACACCAAACTTTGCTATCTTATAATTCATGCAATGGGCATTTCTTATCTAGTTACTCCGGCATGAAACAGTCAAGCTGGCTAGATTAGTAGCTATGTCATCATTTCATCAACCAAGACCAGCCTCTTGCAACACAAACTGTAGCTGATAAAACACATTGTCTTGCTAAGAAATAGTTAGCTATGTTGAATCTAAACCTGGCCAATGCACATGCAAGTAGTGCATCGGCTGTGCAATGCACTGAGTGTACACATGCTGGCTAGCTAATTAGCTAGATCAACACATGAGTCAGACACGTTGCTGTTAGAGCATCCTGAACAAATTCCAGCCCTTACCTTATAACGCATTAATTCAGTACAACCCTCTTGTCAATGCAATTTTCTTTTTGCCATTTTAATCCAAATTTGCGTTGACTAATCAACAGTGTCAAGTTACTTTTCACTGTGCTCCCAGAAATCTGAACCCAGTAAGCAAGAATAAGTGTAAAATACGTATTCTCCAGAGGTTGAAGTTTGGTTCATTTTAGGTTCTGAATGAATGGTAAAAATACTTATTTTCAGGAAGTTTAAAATATGTATTTTCCAGACACTGAAAATACGTTTTTTTCTGGATGTTGAAAATACATATTTTCCGGACGTTGAAATCGGGTTCCTTTTTTGGTTCTGAATTTATGTTGAAACAAATTGTTATACTGTACTGTAATGTACTGCAGTCTGCTGTGCTCTCCTTGGGGACCACCAGATGTTTGTTGTAGCTCTGAACTAGCTATTCAAGAGCTTGGGGATGGGTTGACAAGTTGAATCAGGTGTGCTAGCTCTGGAATAGATCAATTGCATGGAACGGCATGGAGAGGTTTGAGAACCACTATTCTACTGTACTGTGCTGTCCAAACTTGTGAAACATAGAGGTCAATGATTGGTTCAGATTTGGTCTTACTGGACCAAATTTGAACCAATCATAGACGTCTATGATTGTTTCAGATTTTCCCACGACCAGACCAAAAATCTATGTGGACGAGATTCCCTAAAAACACGCTACTTCGATACAGCTAAGACTTTTTCGTAGCAGGTTAGAAGAACTTACGCAGCAGGTTAGGAAAATTAACGCAGCTGGTTAGGAGAATTTACGTAGCAGGTTAGGAGAATTAGGTTAAGGTTAGGAAAAGGGTTTGAGTTAGCGAAAATGCTATCCTAACCTGCTATGAAAAGTCACTTGTATCGAAGTGGCATGTTTTTAGGGAGTCCCAGCCATGGACGTTGAAATCAAGTCCGGAACGCACCAAAAAAGACGGTGTCCGGACATGACCAACAAAATACCGTTGGCGTAAGTCCCCTTAGTGAATAGTAGCCATCACCAGGTAAAAAACTGGAGGGGGGTCATGTCCGGAAATGTATTTCTTTCCAAATGCTCATTCAGCCTGTTTATTCAGTACTTTGAGAGTCACTTACAGGAACTGGTATGTGCTTAATATAAAGCAGTTTTTGATATTCACCCCCCTCCCCTCCTTAAAGGGACAATCCAGTTATTTAGCATAAATGCAAATAGCCATGTCTATGAAGTAATAGTACAATTCACGCACCTATCAATATAACGCATTGCCATCCCTACTGCCTCTGATATGGCGAACTCACTATACACAAATACTGCGTTTGTAAATGATGTCTGAGTGTTAAATGATGTCTGTCCATAAATAAATAACAAACTAGGAAATTGTGGTTTGCTTAATATAAGGAATTTGATGTGTAGCATTTACTTTTTACTTTTTCTCCAGTATGACAATTGAGTACTTTTTATAGCACCATACTTAAGTACATTTAAACCTGGATACTTTTAGACTTTTACTCAAGTAGTATTTTACTGGGTGACATTTTCTATTAAGGTATCTTTACTCAAGTATGACAATTGAGAACTTTATCCACCACTGCCGATAGCGATGCAACTTAAGCTTACGAGTGTTTTAACAATGCATTGTTTCTATAACGGCCGAAGACACCACGTAGGGAGAACTTTCAATAAGTTTGTCGTTAGAGTATGTGTCGATACTGATAGAAAGGCAGCGCTGCTCTCGAATCAGCGTTCTTCATTCAAATCTTACCTTAACATTAAATACTGATGACAGATCAGCTTCTACAAATAAATTGTCACCTATGGCCACAAATATCGAGGCGGATTATTCTAATGCATAGGCTATGAACAGCTTCTACCTTCAAGACATAAGACTGCTAAGTAGTTAGTTAAATAGTTAACCAAATAGCTACCCGTATCATTATTTTTTTGACTCATCACATACACTGCTGCTACTGTTTATTATCTATCCTGTTGCCTAGTCACTTTATTCCTAGTTATATATACATTAGTACCTCAATTACCTCATACCCCTGCATATCGACTCGGTACTGGTACCCGGTGTATACAGTGAGGGGAAAAAAGTATTTGATCCCATGCTGATTTTGTAGCCCACTGACAAAGACTATGTAGCCTACTGTATTGATATTTTAATTCAGTCATCTCGGTTTCCATTTGAAGCATATTTTTACCCTTTGCTTGTTTATAACAATTGCAAAGACATTGGCAACTTTATATTGTAGTCAACTTTGTTCTGCAACTTTAGTAACAATGGTTTTGGGAAACAGCTCTGAGATTTACCAATGCACCTACGAAGGTTCTAACAATGAACTTAGCCTTAAGTTGATTTTGGGAAACCGGGCCCTGGATAGGGCTGTCGCGGTAACCATATTACCGCCCAACCAACAGTCACGAGTCATGACAACAGTCAAATTCCCTGTGACCGTTGGTCATGGTAATCCCATCCAAAACTGTGCGAATGGAGCTGGTGGGTAGCCTACCAAACTTGCTAACGGCCCTCGCTAATGGCCTGGATGAATTTGAATAACCTAAATTATGAGGACAAATGAGGATGGGAGCTAGAGTCCCATTCTGAAATGGACACAGGACAGCCCCGAACCCAATATGCATGAATATATTTTTTGAACCGTTCTGAAAGGACCTAAAGGACAACCAGACCCATCTCCTTTTGACCCGGTCCAATCCGAGTGAGGAAAGCAGCAGAAAAGCCAATTGTTTTGCTACTTTATTAAACCGGAGCAATGGAGAAAGGGAGAGAGAGAAACAGCTACAGAGCAAGCAGCTGTAGGCTATAAGGACAGAGTCCGTGCAGTGTGTGTGTGTGTGTGTGAATGTGTGTAAGACACTGGAGGCTCGGAGCACCGGAGCAGGCAGGCAGGTTTGAGTAGGTTTGAATCCTAAGCAACCTGCATACACATTGTCTGAAGAACAATAGACCAACATAGCTGCTATAGTACTTCAAAGCTGTTCGCTGGAAAACCTTGGTAGAGCATGGGTGGAGAAGGCATTGTGATGCTCATGTGAATTTACTTTATTTTTCCGCTTCAGACCAATGCCTACTTCTCACTTAAAATGCAGTTTTTTGTTTTTAATAATCTAACTCAATCTTTGAAACTATATTTTTTATTACATTTTACTGTGATCTCAAAAATGTTCTAGGATATTGCTGTATATTTTCAAATGTGGAATATGTATTAAATGCTCGTTAACATTTGCTACTTAGTAACACGTTTTATTTTAGGGATATTTTCAGAAATGCAAGAACTGCTGTTTTACATTAAGTCTTTTTTTAAATTACAAATGTATAGTTTATCACCATACGTGAGCATACATAATGTTCAGTGTACAAGTACTGTAATTAGCTGGTTTGCATTCCCTGAGATAACGTTGCTAATACATTTTCATGCAGCTGAATTCAAATGTCAGCCTGGGCGGTTCCAGTGTGGCACTGGCCTCTGTGCTCTTCCTCCATTCATCTGTGATGGAGAGAACGACTGTGGAGACAACTCAGATGAGGCCAATTGTGGTAAGGAGGAAGACTGGGGATATTACTATAGAAATTGAATGCCTAGAACAGGAATTCCCATGCACGTAGATGGGTGAAGTCAAATTGCTGTGGTCTGAGGGGCTTCCCAGTTCTGTCAATTATATCTCGAGGGTTGTTACTGTGCTTCACACTGAGTCTGTCTGTAAGAGTCTGTCATCTGTTGATATCTGGCCACAATAGCATGTCGATTAAAGAAGAACACTGTGGTTGTTAATGTCCTTCACACCAACCCTGTTGATGAGAAAATAAGCTTCATACCTTTCTTACTGCTTGATACCTTTTAAGAAATGTTGTTGCAATATAAGTATGGATTTCTGTCACAATAAAAAGCCCATGTGGGGATGTTCTTTAATTTCAAAGCATTGTAAAACATTTTATTAGCTTGTTCTTGGCTTAGCCAACATAACTTTCACTTTACCTTAAGGTGATACAGCCCTTTTGTCCTGCATATTTTCTTTGATGGATACTTTTCACCTTAAATGGATGCTCTATCAGTTCTACCTCTTCTCCTCCATTTTGTCTTTCAGAGACGTACATCTGTCTGTCAGGGCAGTTCAAATGCACCCGGAAACAGAAGTGTATCCCTCTAAACCTTCGCTGTAATGGACAGGACGACTGTGGAGACGGAGAGGATGAGACAGAATGTCGTAAGAAGAAGAACCTTCTGGATTAGTACCTGACGGATTGTTTTAGGAATCTTTAGGATTACTTTTTGTTTAATCGCTTTTTCCCCAATGAAGAGTGAGATGGAACTTATTATGTGAAGGTTTGACAAGTTGAGACAAGGTCCTTACCAGTGAATTTATAGTAAAGCTCAGACAGCCTACCCTTATGTGCTGCCTTAAATAATATCGAGTCAGATAGTGATTAGGTATTCCAAAGGCATGCTTGATTAGCCCTTTCCCTGTGTGAGAGGATTAGCTATCATTGAATTAGTAAGTGAAAGAGAGAACAGAGAATAAAGAGAGGTATGTATCTTCTGTGAGTGTAATTCTAGCTATCAGCAGTAGCATTATACGTCAGACAAATGTCTGTGGGTTGCTACATTTGTTTTGCCTGCCTGTGATTTTAAGATGGAGTGAGTGTCACTATCAAGTGAGAGTCAGCATAAAAGCCTTGATTAAGTAGAGGTATATAATTACTTCAGCCTTCTCGATACACTGTACGAGTTGTATGCATTCTCACTTTGAATTAGACTGTAAAAGATCTTATGAGGAGCACTGTGCCAATCAAAAGATAATGGTACAGATGTGGGATCTTAATTTGAGCCAGTTTTCTAGAGCAGGAAAATAATCCTGCGTTAACAGGAAATGTGAATTATTATGTGGATTATAATTAATGGCTATTTTTGTAGGGGTTGATACATTTTTCTTCAGGGAAAATCAAGTCTGAAATTTGAAAGTGTAAATAACAAACTTCAGAAGCCTTTTTAAACCTCAAATACACTACACATTTTAAATGTCCTGCATTGCAGAAAAGTTATCTTGCAACAGGGTGATCAAATTAAGATCCTTCATCTGTAGCTGCAACTGTGATAATGGGAAGGTAACAGAAGACAACTGCTGCTGCTTTTGGCATGCAGTGATACTATACCACAGTTGGTATAGTATCTGACTTCGATTGTCTAGCCTGCATATATGGTATATTGGTTGAACTGTTTATTGTGTTAGCCTGTTTGCAAGTCAGTTATTTCTGAGTCAGAGGCTGATAAAAATAATAATAATTATTATTATTGTTATTATTATTATTATGATGATTACATCTGTAAGGTATAGTAATACATGTTATTAACGCAGCAATTTTTCTCTCTGTTCCTGCCTCTGTTATTAAATTATAGGTATTTTACACCGCCTATCTGGCCTGTTAATGTGATCAAGGCTGTTCTTCTGTTAACACTGTCAATAATAGTGTTTGCTCATCTCTCACTCATTATGACTCTCTCTCTCTCTCTCTCTCTCTCTCTCTCTCTCTCTCTCTCTCTCTCTCGCTCTCTCTCTCTCTCTCTCTCTCATGGTCTCTCTCTCTCTCTCTCTCTCTCTCTCTCTCTCTCTCTCTCTCTCTCTCTCATGGTCTCTCTCTCTCTCTCTCTCTCTCTCTCTCTCTCTTTCGCTCTCTCTCCCTTCCTCCCTCCCTTCCTCTCTCCCTCCTTGGCCTGGTGTAAACCTGGACCCCCTCCTCTCCACAGCGGAGAGCACCTGTTCCCCGGACCAGTTCCAATGCAAGGCCTCCATGCACTGCATCTCCAAGCTGTGGGTGTGTGACGAGGACCCAGACTGCACGGACGGGTCAGATGAAGCTAATTGTGGTGAGTGGGGGAGCGCTTAAATCATAAATCAAACCAGTCCTCTAGTTTTATTGAGCCTCGGTTGAAATCGTGAAATCGTGACACATGGGCACATTCTCTTCTGCTCTGTGCTGATTGAGTTGAAGCAGCCATAAAGAATGTCTACTGGTAGTTTATCACCACAGGATGTCAGATTTGTCAGTATTGTGTATGGCACTGAAACACCAAACATCACATTGGATAGTTAGTGCATTATGGCACTTCATGAGCGCTTTGACCACCCCAAAAAAAGTTTAGAGTAGTCTTTTAAGGTTATTTTAAGTGGTAGAGAACCTTTCCAACCTCCCACAACTATCTCTTCCACCAGTCATGACTTTAAACTGTGTAGCCTACTGGAGAGCATCTGAGCTAACTTGAACGCCCTTTGTTCTGAGACACAATACTGCTAGGAAGTCCCTCAACTGTGTTGTTATACTTTAAAGCCGACGTCTTCCACTGGAGGAAGTGTTCAATGATTTTTAGCTATGCTCACATCTAGAGAAGGGAGAGAACAAGGTTCAGCATGAAGTCTTCTCCCGCCTTTGTGCAGAGGTAGAAAGTGTTCTATCTTTTAATGTTGTTGTTGTCCTCTTCATCTCAGCCCAACGGTTATTTGAATGGATAGATAGGCTGCCATTCTCTTTGGTAATATCGAACAGCTCAAGATCAATTATTTCTTTACTCAGTATTGGTTATTTTGTTAGATACCTACTCTTCTTAAGTTCAAAACAAGCTGTAAGCTAAACATCGCTGCTAACTAATGACTGAATTTATTTTAGAAGTTGTAAAATATTAATTAACATGTCCTAAATGCTGTTCAGTTGCACTAAAGTTTTACATTTGATACAGTGTTAGGGGGGGAATTATACACCAACACAAAAAGTAATAATAATTGAGTGTATAGAGGATAATTAGGATAGTGAAATAAAAGAAAAGGTTTTTCCATTATACTTCCATTACCAGTTCCTTTTACCTGTGTGGATGTGATTGTTTTCCATCTCTTGCACATCTAGTTCATAGAAAATGATTCACCTCTCGTAAGCTTTTGCGACTCTGCCTAAAATGGCATATAATTTAAACGAGACAGGTAATACAGGCCTCCAACAGCATCCAAACCAACCTTGTCTTTCTTTGTTATTTGGCTGAGGCAATTTAATCGATTGTGTGGTAGATTTAAAATAACTTTTCTTAAATGGTTAGATTGAGAGAACCGAATAAGAATGATATTGGCATACGTAGTAAGTGTGTGTGTGTGTGCGCGAGCGTGAAAGAGGTATGTGTATTCGAAGGGAGTGGGTGGAGTGTGTGTGTGGTTGGTGTTATCAGCATGACAATCTCAGCAGAAATTATCATTTGCGTGACGTCTGAAAAGGCTATTATCAGGATTTTTTATAATAGCATGTCACTTCCCTGCTGCCCCCTCCTTACATTGATTGCCCTGTCATCGTTATCTCTGCTTTTGAGGTTCTGTTACTCTTTATCTGGTGGCAGTTATAAAGATATTTCAGTATACTCGGATGCAAATCGACCTGGTGCCGAAGTTGAAAAGGTGATACTGAAGTGTTTTAAAAAAACAAATGTAGGTATACCACACACCAGTAGTCAAAACCTTGAGAATATGGAGAATAATATATATATTTTTTTTTACAATCTTATTTTGTCTTTCAAATATTATTTTATATCTTTGAAGTGACTTTCGATTTTAATAGTGAAGCTCTATTGAGCTAATTAAGATACAGAGTAGATGTTCTTATATATGCTATGTCAGTATTTCTTTTAGATCCTGTTTGTGACTGGTGTGTGTGTGTGTGTGTGTGTGTGTGTGTGTGTGTGTGTGTGTGTGTGTGTGTGTGTGTGTGTGTGTGTTTGTGTGTATGTGTGTGTGTGTTTGTATGTGTATGTGTATGTGTATGTGTATGTGTATGTGTATGTGTATGTGTATGTGTGTGTGTGTGTGTGTGTGTGTGTTTGTGTGTAGTCTTCCTGCTCCTGTTGTATTATTGGAAAAGCAACCAATCTCTCATATTACCAGTATAATATATACGGTAGCAGTAATTGCCATGATTATAATTTATGCTTGTGAATTGTAACAATTTTTTTGTGTGTTTTGTGCACGTAATATTTTAAGAAATAGTGTCTTATAAGCCTTGTGGTCTGGGCACCAATTGGTGTATGCCACTGAAATAAACAAAAACAAAAATCTAAATAATATAACGTTATATAAAGTCCTTGACAGCATCCTGCCACGCAGGTCACCATGTCCTTCTTATGCATCCCTCTCTACATCAGGGATGGGCAACTCCAGTCATCAGGGCCTGATCGGTGTCACACTTTTGTCCCAGCCCCAGCTAACACACCTGACTCCAATAATCAACTAATCATGATCTTCTGATTTAGAATGCAATTAGTTTCATCAGCTGTGTTTGCTAGGAAAAAGTGTAACACCACTCAGGCCCCCAAGGACTAGAGTTACCCATCCCTGCTCTATGTGATTACTGTGGTCATTATCTCTGATTACTTATGTATACATGTAGTTAAAAAGGAGATGTGACAGACTTTGAAGGCCATTAGATGGAACTTAGATATACCATAAACCTTTTTTAGAAGTTTGAAAGGTGTTTTTGATCTCCTTGTTATAGGGAACAGAACCCTCAAGCAAACTTTTGAGATTAATGAATGAAATGTACACGGAGTGTACAAAACATAATAATAATAATAATAATAATAATAATAATAATAATAATAATAATGATATGCCATTTAGCAGACGCTTTTATCCAAAGCGACTTACAGTCATGTGTGCATACATTTTGACGTATGACATAGACTGACCAGGTGAATCCAGGTGAAAGCTATGATCCCTTATTGATGTCACTTGTTAAATCCACTTTAATCAGTGTAGATGAAGGAGAGGAGACAGATTAAAGAAGGATTTTTAAGCCTTGAGACAATTGAGACATGTATTGTGTATGTGTGCCATTCAGAGGGTGAATGGGCAAGACAAAATATTTAAGTGCCTTTGAATGGGGTATGGTAGTAGGTGCCAGGCGCACCGGTTTGAGTGTGTCAAGAACTGCAACGCTGCTGGGTTTTTCACGCTCAACAGTTTCCCATGTGTATCAAGAATTGTCCACCACCCAAAGGACATCCAGCCAACTTGACACAAATGTGGGAAGCATTGGAGTCAACATGGGCCAACAGTCCTGTAGAACACTTTCGACACCTTGTAGAGTCCATGCCCCATACGAATTGAGGCTGTTCTGAGGGCAAAAGGCAGTGCAACTCAATATTAGGAAGGTGTTCCTGATGTTTTGTATACTCTGTGTATACTGTATTTATAACATAGCTACAATATTTGACAATTAAGGGCAATGAGCTATCTGATAAGTACATCACTCACTTTTAATTTTCTCTCTGCCTTAACTATCTTGCGGTGCATTTTGTGCCCTCTAGTGTAGGTAACACCATCTCATCACCCATCTTAGGAATACATACTTTTCTGAAACATTTGTTGCAAATACTTTATTTGGTTCTAAGTGTTTAATATTGCAAACTTGTCATAGATTCTGTTAGGAGATCTAAGCCATTGGCAGCACAGTCAGGTATTTCATCTTACACTGTGTTAGCCTCTCTCGAGTACGAGGGATGTTTTGAACTTGGTGTCAGCCTAGCACTACGAGGAAACCCTGAGGAAATGATGATTACACGTAGAAATATGATAGCTCCACCATTAATATTCATGCTTTTTGAAGCCATTTTCATCTGCCTGTTTGTTTGTTTCCTGATGTAAAAAAGATGAAAAGACCTGCGGACCTCATGAATTCCGCTGTGAGAATAACAACTGTATCCCGGACCACTGGAGGTGTGACAGCCAGAACGACTGTGGAGACAACTCAGATGAGCAGAACTGCAGTGAGTACGCCCATCTCTGCTGCTCTCTACTCTCTTAGCTCACTTCTAGCTGTTTGGCAACTTATATATACGTCGATAGGCCTATGCACTTGCACAGTTCAGTTAGTATTTTGGAACTGTTTGAAGATGAACTGACTCAGTTTTTTCTCCACTTGCTCTTTGGGTTTGTATACTGTACCGTTCCTCTGTTAAACTTTGTAAAGAGTTCCCACAATCAAAGTAAGGCAGGCAGCTCAATGGAGCGCTGTTCTTAACTGTTTCTAACTCGGCTATGCCCTCTGAGCATGTTCCCCTCTCCAACTCCACTTTGGATCTGAAAGAAAGTCAGAGCTCCAGATTTTTCAGCTTTGATGCCATCTCTCCTCTCCTTCCCAGCCTCACTTTTTTGTTTAGATATTCATAACCAACTACTGGAATAAAGTTTGTTTACGTATGAAAGGGCTTTGTTAACCCAGCTAGTCCATATATCTGATCTGTGTGTGCTTGCGTGCGTGCATGCATGTGTGCCTGTGTGCATGCACACAAGCGTGTGTGTGTGTATATGCATTTTATGCTGAGTATGTATCGTTCATTTGATTTATTATGCGCTTATTCCCCTTACCTATTAATGTCACTTACAATGCAAATAAATCCCAGTCAAGTGTTGGATGGTAAAGAATTAAACAGGTGCACCAGCTAGGCTAGCAGACAGCAGAGAGAGAGAGAGAGACTGCAAATCACAATCTGCTGCAGACTGCAGGCTCTGCTGAGACCTTTTCTCTAACTGCAGCTCATAACCACAACTACCTTCACTCCCTACAGTCAGTTAACAGTCCATGATAACCAGGGGGTGAGGGGAGGACCCCAGCACTGGAATTTGATGCTGCTTAAATATGGCATAATGTTGTCCTCAGAGACCTAGACATACAGTGTACCTGAATGTGGAGGTTGCCAGATACTAGGGTTCAGGAGTATACTGTCCTCCTAAACTGTTATTGGCTATGAAGGTATTTACATCTTGAGCCACTGGCATCCCAACTATCATGTCCAACAAATGTATTTGACGAGCCAACAAATGGTTTATACAGTAGGCATCCTGCCAGGGCCCAGTTTTTCCAAAAGTTATCTATCTGGATTTCACCTATCGGATGGGATTAAACACATTAGAATTAAATGAACAGACTAATCATAGACTTGAATGGGGACTCTCGTTCTATTCATTCTATTTCTATCCATATAATCCAATCCGAAAAGTGTGCAAAATCCAGATGAACTGTTGAAAAACTGGGCCCAGATGATTAGCATGCAATGCTTAAGAGATATCTCCTGTAAAAGGGACCTTACACAAAACCACATGATTTCACATGTGGAAGATCACATGATTTCATGTAAAATTTCACATATGAGTCATGTGAAACATGTGTTTTAGGATAACTTCACATGTGATCACGTGAAATGCATGTGTTTTTTCCGTAAGGGGGCTCTAGGGGATTCCCTTCTCTCATGAAACCTCTTATAAAGGCCCATGTGTTTTCGTAGAGGTTGGTTGCTTTTCCAGGGCTATTTCAAGTGTAAATAGTATATATAGCCTAGTCTATAAAACACATAGTATATATAGTCTTTAAATAGTCTATAACAGACATCACTTGTTAGGGAGGGAGTGCTAGGGCCTTGTAGAAAATGATGAAGATCCACCCTTGGATGGCAACGTTGTGTAACTAGTCTAATTAAAGTTCTGTGGTGGAGCGTATATCGTGTTTGAGGGCCCGGCTCCTACCTCATTTATTTTTCATGAGTAGTGATGTCCTTGTCCTCTCCCTTGACTCAGAGCCAGTGACCTGTAACCACAAGGACTTTGCCTGTGCTAACGGGGACTGCGTCTCCGCTCGATTCCGCTGCGATGGAGACTATGATTGCCCTGATAATTCAGACGAGGTCAGTGATCCTGGTCGTCATTTAACCACAGCCTATATATAGCATGTTATAGCCTGTAAACTGTGTGAGTCACAACCTCTTGAATAATCTGATTTGAGTGAATTGACCCTTATTAATCCTAACCTTATGTTTCTATCTTGCGTTTTCTTTCATAAATGTGAATGTTTTATTTTTCTCCTAAAAGGCATGCATATTGAATTGAAAATATGATTTGATGGCATTATGATATTCAAATTGTAAATTATTCTGAATTTTATTGGAACGCAGATGATAATATTGTGGATGACAATGTCCTAATAGAGAGACATTTTATGTTTGTACTGTTATTCAAATGTGTGAACAATTATGCAAACTGATTCACTAACCCAAAATACTACATTAACTAGCCAGTTTTGTGGAATGCGATTTTTTTAAAAGCGTGAGCTATTCATGAAATATCAGTAGAAATATTCAGAACTCCATTGTGTGATGGCTAAGGAGAAAGTCATGGAATTACCTATTTATTATGCCTTGTAATTTATTTATCTGTTAAATAACCCCACAGCAAATACATTTACATTTACATTTTAGTCATTTAGCAGACGCTCTTATCCAGAGCGACTTACAGTTAGTGAATACATTTTTATTTTTTTTATACTGGCCCCCCGTGGGAATTGAACCCACAACCCTGGCGTTGCAAACGCCATGCTCTATCAACTGAGCTACATCCCTGCCGGCCATTCCCTCCCCTACCCTGGACGACGCTGGGCCAATTGTGCGCCGCCCATGAGTCTCCCAGTCGCGGCCGGCTGCGAAAGAGCCTGGATTCGAACCAGGATCTCTAGTGGCACAGTTAGCACTGCGATGCAGTGCCTTAGACCACTGCGCCACTCAGGAGACTAAATACAGCATACAGTATGAGTAATCCCCTCCAAGTGCAACCTCTATTTACACATTATTGTGTGTGGTCCCAATGACGACATTCTGGGTCAAACTGTATATGTAGTTCACTAAGTAGTAAATAGTAGTCTGCTATGCATGGTTTCTCTTGTAAACAACTAGTTATGTTGTCCACCCAATTCTTACCTAAAACGGACTAAACAGGCAATGAAGACTCAATGGGTTTCAATGCCTGGCAATACCCTGCCATCCTGCACATATAAAGTGTTAAAATTGTCATTGAAAGTGTTTTGTATGGCTTATGAATGAGCTGTCAAGTCCTAATGAAGGTACCTTTCAAAGAAAGTATTACCATATGGTTCTACTGTATAAGAATTGGAACATCTACCATGTCAAGTAGAAGCCTATTGTAAATGTGAGCTTCTTGTCCTTTATATCTCTCTACAGAAGGACTGTGAGGCTCGGTGTGCTGAGGACCAGTTCCAGTGTCTCAATAACCTCTGCATCTCCCTCAAGTGGCTCTGTGACGGCCAAGAGGATTGCAAGACAGGAGAGGACGAGAGGAACTGCCAGGGGACAGGTACAGTATATGAGAAAGACATGGTCAAAAGGTCACTTTTCCCCAAAATACCTTTTTAATGTGAAATTGAAGTAGTTGTTAAAAAGCTGAGAACCACAAGCTCCTGTGGTAACATGGACTGTTGTAGTTCATATTATTTGATTGAAAAACAGGACAAAGTTAGAGTTTTTCTGGACTTTTTTATGGGGAGTAGTGTAAGATGAGGACATGTTGGTGTGGAGGGGGATGCTTTACCTCCTATGATAGTTAAAAGGTACTAGCAGTAGAATTGCCAATGCTACTTTCTGTGTGACTAATTAAATACTGTTCCAATTCTGTAACCAATTGATGAATAGCTACTGCATAAGTACGCCATCTGTTTTTACCCACAGTAAAGCCATACAAACTTAATGAACTGTATAATGGATGAAAACATTTGAAAAATGAGGTGAGCGAGCAAAAAAATTATAATACAAAATAAAAAATCTAATAACGTTTGTCAAAAACAACCTTAGTACAACACCTAGCAACCTCGCCAAGGAATTTTGGCATTTTAGCGAATAGCAGGGCAGGGAAAGAACCTGGGTTGCTGTAATGAAAGGCAAACATCCTACGGATCGCGCCTATAGGACTATTCGGGTGTACCTGCACAAAAACTCTGATATTTATCATACTTTAGCTGGTTCTCCATCTTCTTAAAAAAAATGAATGGTGAGCCAACATGTGTTGTGCACTTTTACCTCCTAAACTCATTTTTCTCATGGCTTTCGCTTGTCCCTCTACAGCAGACGTAAAGTGAGCAATATGTTTGGAACATCAAATTGCAATAAAATCTCAATATGGAATCGCTATACATATAGGATCGTGATACATATACAATCGCAACACATATAGTATCGGCACTTAAGTATCATGATAATATCGTGAGGTCGCTGGCTATTCCCAGCCTTACTACTAAGCCCCTCCTCACGGCTGCCATCCACTTCTGACACTAATATAGCAAAAGGAGGGGCAGAGAAGCGAACCCTGGTGGGCTGGCGTGAAAGGCAAACACCCTTACGCATTGTGCCAATGGGGTTAACCCACTTGGTGGTAATTGTAACATGACCCACGAAAATGTATTGTATTCTACTGGAGTGCAGCTACTACAATACAGTAGCTAGCCGGCGTAACCTCATCCGTAACCCCCAGTGGTGAGTGGGTTTCAGCACTTCATTCAGCAGTAGGCAGCACACAGCATGCTCTATCCTGAGGGAAGACATCATATTTAGACCTAGGATCTGTTTGGAAAGAAACAAAGGGTTGTAGCGTTTATTTTTTCACAAGTTCATAACAGTGTGCAGAACACATACAAACCAGCCCCACACATGCTGTGAATGATGGGTGTTAAATTATTATGTTGTGGAGTGTGTGCACACAATAAAGCTCTATATCTCTGATCTGGGTGTTTCCAGTGCTCCCCTCTTGCTCCCTAAATGAGTATGTGTGTGCCAGTGGAGGCTGTGTCTCGGCCAGTCTGAGATGTGATGGACAGGACAACTGTCTAGACGGATCAGATGAGGTGGGTGTGGCTCTGCTTGGTACTTTAACCTCATCCATATCAATCAATCTATAATCTATAGCTTTTTTGCTTATTTACATAATACGACAGAGATAAGTATTTGAAGAAAACATTTATAATGATTTTGTCCAGTACTGTAGCTGAACTTCCCACACGGTATGAAGCATTTATGTAGGGATTGTCCTATTTGTAAGGATGGTCCCTACATAATTTGGTGCCCCGTGTAAGGTGAATTCCTAACAGTATACAAAAGGATGTGAGTGAAGTCACTCGTATCAAACTTTATCGCTGAGAATGGCTTGACTGTGTTGGACATTTAATAGTGTATAATGCTGTTTACGTGTTTTGTGTTGCCATGTCGACAGGCGGGCTGCGTGAAGGAGTGCAAGGAAAATGAGTTCTTGTGTCTGAACCACGCCCACTGTATCCCACGGCGATGGTGCTGTGACGACGTGTTTGACTGTGTTGACCATAGTGACGAGGAGAACTGCAGTCAAGGTACGACAGGGCTGGACATACTCACTTCACATGTCAACGTACTAGAAAACTGTAACTGCAGCCAGGGTAGGTCGGGTATTAGAAATGAAAACAGGACTAGTCAGAGCTCACTTGAAATTTTGTTTAAGAGAGATGGGGTGGAAACTGTCTCCTCTTAGGAAGTAGTTGGTTTTCTATACAGGTCCGTTTTCATTTTCTTTTCAATAACAGGCAACATGTCCTACTACAGTAGAGATCTACCTTTCAGGTGACACACACAGTGTATCCAGAGCGACTTGCAGGAGCAATTAGGGTTAAGTGCCTTGCTCAAGGGCACATCGACAGATTTTTCACCTAGTCGGCTCGGGGATTAGAACCAGCGACCTTTCGGTTACTGGCACTATGCTCTTAACCACTAAGCTACCTGCCGCCCTACCTGTAAAAGAAAATAAAATTGAACAAAGATGTTCCCTCTAATTTTCTGGGGCACTAAGCAATTTTGAGGTCTTGTGAGCGAAAACTTGAACATTGAGAGAATTTTCTGCAACTTCCAGCGCGTGTTTACAGTGAACACTGAGGCTGTACCCTTACAGTTTTAGACAGTAGCCAATAGGCTATTGTGGCTATTTGAGCATAATGTAGGCCTACCAACAAAACCAATGGAGCAAATCCCATAACATTCACATGGAAATAGCTTTTGATTTCTATGATGTAGCCTACAGTAGCCTATATGTGGTGTACAGTGCAGGCCTACATTGCATGAGACTTTTAAAAACATGTTTTTTATTATGAAGAGCTTGACATTAATTACAGATTTTATACTTGGTCTGTAACACCATGGGCCAAATAGGTGACTGTAAATTGCATTGCATTGTGTTATATAATGCAAGAAATCACTTTACAAAATAAATTTAATTATTATTACCATACAGAGAATTAGACAATGTAGGCTACCCCTTTGCCTATTGGCTTATTTGCATATTCGAGCCTGTCTCAAAATACAACACTGCCCCTTTAATTAAGACATAAGCTTTTTACCTGACTGGCTTTTCAAAGATAGCTTGAAATGTAGCCTACACGTTGTGTGCTCTTGTAGGAAGCAGTAACTCCCCATTGCTGACCTATACTTATCTATAACTGGGCTAATAACTCGCTGACTAGCAAAGAATATCAACACATGTGCACACACACGGCTCTGCGCTCTGATCTGAACTGATCTGAAAAGCGCATTCACTCACTGGTGATTGAAAGACCACTAGTGGGCTACCCCCGCCAATAGAATTATACTCCGTTGCGCTCTGGCTCTGCTACAACAAAATCATAGACTCAATCTTGATGAGGCTGATATAATGTTAATTCGATCACAGAAAAAAATTTGATCTATGTAGTGCAAACTAATGGGGCGAACTGAGTGAAGTTCAATCTCTTTCTTCTACGCCGCAGTCCTGGAGGAAGTGCGCGCACCACGCAGTTTAGAGGGAACATTGATTGCAACTATGGATAGTGTTGAGCATGTTTACTGGAACACCGTAATAGAGATTACATGCCTGCCAATATGGTACCCACATTATCTTTTCTTCCTTCACAGCTTCCTTCACAGTACCATGCCAGCACATAACATATGACTAGTAGCATAGCAACCACCATTCTAGCCATGTGTTTTACTGTGAAAGGTGTACAATACAATAGTCATATTCTGGCCAAGCAAAGGTCACTTTGCTAACAATAATGTTCTTTCATACAGACACTATAGTGATAGCACAATGCTATTGAATAGAAGTTTAGAAGGAAATGGAAAAACCTAGCTACATTTTAATGGTAGGTTTATTTGAACAGTGATAGACAGAATAACAACAAAAAAATCCAGAAAAATGCATGTCAAAAATGTTATTAATTGATTTGCATTTTAATGAGGGAAATAAGTATTTGACCCCTCTGCAAAACATGACTTAGTACTTGGTGGCAAAACCCTTGTTGGCAATCACAGAGGTCAGACGTTTCTTGTAGTTGGCCACCAGGTTTGCACACATCTCAGGAGGGATTTTGTTCCAGTCCTCTTTGCAGATCTTCTCCAAGTCATTAAGGTTTCGAGGCTGACGTTTGGCAACTCGAACCTTAATATAATAATAATAATAATAATAATATGCCATTTAGCAGACACTTTTATTCAAAGCGACTTACAGTCATGCGTGCATGCATTTTTGTGTATGGGTGGTCCCGGGGATCGAACCCACTACCTCGGTGTTACAAGCACCGTGCTCTACCAGCTGAGCTACAGAGGACATTCAGCTCCCTCCACAGATTTTCTATGGGATTAAGGTCTGGAGACTGGCTAGGCCACTCCAGGACCTTAATGTGCTTCTTCTTGAGCCACTCCTTTGTTGCCTTGGCCGTGTGTTTTGGGTCATTGTCATGCTGGAATACCCATCCACGACCCATTTTCAATGCCCTGGCTGAGGGAAGGAGGTTCTCACCCAAGATTTGACGGTAAATGGCCCCGTCCATCGTCCCTTTGATGCGGTGAAGATGTCCTGTCCCCTTAGCAGAAAAACACCACCAAAGCATAATGTTTCCACCTCCATGTTTGACGGTGGGGATTGTGTTCTTGGGGTCATAGGCAGCCTTCCTCCACCTCCAAACACGGTGAGTTGAGTTGATGCCAAAGACCTCGATTTTGGTCTCATCTGACCACAACACTTTCACCCAGTTCTCTTCTGAATCATTCAGATGTTCATTGGCAAACTTCAGACGGCCCTGTATATGTGCTTTCTTGAGCAGGGGGGCCTTGCGGGCGCTCCAGGATTTCAGTCCTTCACGGCGTAGTGTGTTACCAATTGTTTTCTTGGTGACTATGGTCCCAGCTGCCTTGAGATCATTGACAAGATCCTCCCGTGTAGTTCTGGGCTGATTCCTCACCGTTCTCATGATCATTGCAACTCCACGAGGTGAGATCTTGCATGGAGCCCCAGGCCGAGGGAGATTGACAGTTATTTTGTGTTTCTTCCATTTGCGAATAATCGCACCAACTGTTGTCACCTTCTCACCAAGCTGCTTGGCGATGGTCTTGTAGCCCATTCCAGCCTTGTGTAGGTCTACAATCTTGTCCCTGACATCCTTGGAGAGCTCTTTGGTCTTGGCCATGGTGGAGAGATTGGAATCTGATTGATTGATTGCTTCTGTGGACAGGTGTCTTTTATACAGGTAACAAGCTGAGATTAGGAGCACTCCCTTTAAGAGAGTGCTCCTAATCTCAGCTCGTTACCTGTATAAAAGACACCTGGGAGACAGAAATCTTTCTGATTGAAAGGGGGTCAAATATTTATTTCCCTAATTAAAATGCAAATCAATTTATAACATTTTTGACATGTGTTTTTCTGGATTTTTTTGTTGTTATTCTGTCTCACTGTTCAAATAAACCAACCATTAAAATTATAGACTAATCATTTCTTTGTCAGTGGGCAAACGTACAACATCAGCAGGGGATCAAATACTTTTTTCCCTCACTGTATAAGACAACCTTGTGATAGAAAGCCCATAGCACTACTGTTAACCTTCAGTTTGTAATTGCAGGTGTCTTCTTCTGCCGTCCTGATGAGTTCATTTGCAACAACACCTTATGCAAGCTCCATTCGTGGGTGTGTGATGGCAAGGACGACTGTGGAGACAACTCAGACGAGGACACAGAGATGTGTGGTGGGTTGAAACGACAACGTCTCTGACTTAGATATTTTCTCAAAGGTTTTTGATGGATATTTTATTAGTTATAACTTAATCCAAGGTGATATTCGTGGTTGAAATTGTGGATTCTGTTGAATTGACTAGAATGGAATTTGTTGAATGGAATAGAATGGAATCAATTGAATAGACTTGAATGGACTATGTTGAATGAACTAAAATGTATTTGACTGTCTGGAATACTTGTGTTATTCTTCTCCCCTCCAGCCAAACTTTCCTGTCCCCCCACACGCCCACACCGATGTAGAAATGACCGTGTGTGTCTGCGCAATGACCAACTGTGTAACAAGGTTGATGACTGTGGGGATAACTCAGACGAGGAGGAATGTGGTGAGTTTACACCAGCTACAGTTCAAACATTACATTTTTCTTCATCAAGAATGTTGAACTAAGGAGATTGTATATTCCAATAAAACATTATTCCTAATCGTATCAGTGCGACAACAGCAAAAACGTTGTATTAGTCAAGTTTCTTTGATATCCCTAGAAACTCAAAGCACCACATATTTTTATTTTTATTTTTTATTTAACCTTTATTTAACTAGGCAAGTCAGTTAAGAACAAATTCTTATTTACAATGACAGCCTACCAAAAGGCAAAAGGCCTCCTGCGGGAACGGGGGCTGGGATTAAAAATATAAATATAGGACAAAATACACATCATGACAAGAGCGACACCACAACACTACATAAAGAGAGACCTAAGACAACAAAACAGCATGGCAGCAACACATGACAACACAGCATGGTAGCAACACATGACAATAACACAGTAGCAACACAAAACATTGTACAAACATTATTGTGCACAGACAACAGCACAAAGGGCAAGAAGGTAGAGACAACAATACATCACATCATATAAAGATATCTCAGAGTACCACTCATCCTTTCATGCAAATGCCTTCTCTGTTGCCGATGCGGCCTTTCTGTCTGACGTGTGTTTGGCTCCTGTGTGCGTCCCAAAGCAGAGGTGGTGTCTGGCAGACCCAGACGGTGTGGGAAGGCAGAGTTCACCTGCAGTACCCAGCGATGCATCCCAACCCAGCTGCAGTGTGACCTCTTCAATGACTGTGGGGATGGGGGATCGGACGAGCAGGACTGCAAGGCCTGTACGTGTGTGTGTTTTGTGTGTGTCACACAGATCAATATCCTGCTAGGCAGGAACTTGATCCATGAGATAATCTAGGGCTCTTCTGCTAGATATTTCTGCTAGATCCAAATGTTAGATGATGTCAGAACGTTTATGGGAATACATTACCCATATTTGCGGTGTGTTTTTTTGTCTGTTGAAAGTTGATGTTCACCTGGCTTCCACACATCAATGGAGCAACTGTTTGCAAGTATATTCGATATATAGGAATGTGTTTTCATGTGCAATCAAATTGTTGTCTTCGATTGTAGCTTCCAATGGAGACATATGTGGAAAGAAAACAAACCCATGTGGGGAGGATGCAATTTGCAATCAGACAAACACAAATGCAATATGTCAGTGCAAATCTGGCTTCAGGAGGAATCTAAAGACTGCCCAGTGTGAAGGTACTGTATGGCCTGTTTTTCCCCTCACTATTTAATTAGACAGAATAACGATAATGTAATAATAAATGGCATTCTTTAACATATTTAACATTTAACATTTAACTAATGTGGTTAAATATGTACATCATGTAGCCGTGTTTAATGAAAAATATACATAACATATCGCTTTCAAGTCTTTCCTTACAGACACCCAGATTCCTTCAATATCTTTCTCTCCGAGTACATGTTTATAGTATCTTAGTAGCTTTCACTTACAGATAATTTAGTAAGCCATCCAGTTTCAATGAGCTTAAGTAATTACGGATTGAGTAGCCAAGTATTGCATAATTTAGTTGGAGATTACGATATCTGCGATTATAAATTGAACTCTGAACCGGCTTTTGCCTTCTAGTTATTGCTTTTGTGCTCAGTGGTTATTGATTATTCTATTCAGGGGGTAACTAAGTACTTAAGTTGTAATTTCCACTTTCGTAATGGGTCAAGACTCTGCTTTCTGAAAGATAACCAAGGACCATTTAAACCCACACTTCCTATGCACGCTGTCATCACATCAGTGGACTGTTACTCTGAATATGACTCAGTAACTGGGATCAGTTGCTTAGTAAAGCTGGTATATGAACATGCTTCAACATGTGAAACTGAACCAGTGTTAACAGCAATAGTTTTTTTTAGCAGGTTGGCATTTATTGGGATGACTCATTTATTGGGAGGCAGCTGGCACAGCCACAAAGTCATAAAATCTGATTTTAAACCTAAGCCTAAACTTAACCATAAACTTTACCACACTGCTAACCTTATGCCTAACCCTAACCTTAAATTAAGACCAAAAAGCTAATTTGTCTTTTCATAAATGTATATGATATATACCCAATTTTGACTTTGCAACTGTCCAATCTAGTGGAAATCACACTTTTTTATATATTTTATTTTAATTACAGTATATAATAGATATCCTCACATCCTATAGGTTAGGGCAATATCAACATAAACTGAAATGCTTGTTCACATTTCTGATTTGAGAGGAATGGCAGCTTAACTGTTTCCATGCGCAGTACAGTAACTGACTGAACATGTTTTTCCTTTTCTCCTCAGAAATCAATGAGTGTCTTGAGTTTGACACATGTGCTCACTATTGTACAAACACTAAAGGATCATACAAGTGTACTTGTGACAGGAATTTCAAGGAAATAAATGGAAACTGTGTAGTAAAAGGTATGGACCATTTTATTACTGTACTGTATGTTCTAACTGAATTACATTGAACTATCATAGATCTTGCTGTGCTATATATTGATCTAGGATTTTTTACTGTTGTAGTTTCAATAGATATACAGTATGTTGTTTTTTGCTAAAATTGATTAAAACATTATACAGTTAGTATAGTATGTATTTCTATAAACTGCACAATTTTCTTGAATATTAGTTTTATTCAATAGATGAAACTGTACTCATAGACTGTACTTTATCCTTACCACTCTTCATTGTAAAGATACTGTCATAGTCATCAGATAACCTTTACATTAAGACAACAGGATTGTATAAGTAATACTGAATGTATACAAGACCAGCCATTTAACCATTTAGATAGTATAAAAACTTAGCTGTTTTTGATGTGACCAATAAGGATTATATTAATAATGAATTAATAATGACTGCCAATATTCACTAACATCTATTCCACATCTCTAAAGTGTTAATGTTACGGGTGTATACACCACTGTGATAAACTGCGCTGTGATACAGTGCCTTCAGAAACTATAACATATACAACATTTTGTTGTGTTACAGCTTTATTTTTTTCACCCATCTTCACATAATGACAGTGAAACATGTTTTTAGACATTTTTGCAAATGTATTGAAAAGCAAACATAGAAATATCTAATTTACATAAATATTCACACCCCTGAGTCAATACTTTGTAGAAGCACATTTGGCGGCGATTACAGCTTTGAGTCGTCTTTGGTATGTCTGTATCAGCTTTGCACATCTGGATTTGGGGATTTTCTCCCATTCTTCCTTGCAGATTTTCTCAAGCCCTGTAAAGTTTCCACATATTTTCAGTGGGATTCAAGTCTGGGCTTTTGTGAGGCCTCTCAAGGACTTTCACATTCTGGTTCTGAAGCCATTCCAGCGTTGCTTTGTCTGTATGCTTGGGGTTATTGTTTTGTTGGAATGTAAATCTTCGCCCCAGTCTGAGGTCGTTAGCACTCTGAAGCGGGTTCTCATCAAGGATTTGCCTGTATTTGGCTCCATTAATTGTTTCCTCTATCCTTACCTGTCTCCCAGGCCCTGCCACTGAAAAGCATCCTCATAGCACAACGCTGCCACCACCGTGCTTCACGGTAGGGATGGTGTTAGACGGATGATGAGCTGTCCCTGGTTTTCTCCAGACATAGCGCTTTGCATTCAGGCCAAAGAGTAACATTTTTGTCTCATCAGACCACAGAATCTTTTGCCTTATGCTCTCTGAGTTTTTCACGTGCCTTTTTGCAAACTCTAGACATGCTGTCATGTGCCTTTTTCTCAGGAGTGGCTTCCGTCTGGCCACTCTCCCATAAAGCCCAGATTGGTGAAGTGCTGTAGAGACTGTTGTCCTTCTGGCAGGTTCTCCCATCTTAGCCAAGGAACTCTGTAGTTCTGTCAGAGTGGTCATTGGGTTCTTAGTCACTTCCCTGACCAAGGTCCTTCTTGCCCGGTTGCTCAGTTTGGTCGGACGGCCAGCTCTAGGCAAAGTCTGGGTAGTTCCATATTTTTTTCAATTTCCCAATGATGGAGACCACTGTGCTCTTGGAAACTTTCAACACTCTAGAAATTGTTTTATACCCTTCCCGAGATACAGTGGGGAGAACAAGTATTTGATACACTGCCGATTTTGCAGGTTTTCCTACTTACAAAGCATGATGTAGAGGTCTGTAATTCTTATCATAGGGACACTTAAACTGTGAGAGACGGAATCTGAAACAAAAATCCAGAAAATCACATTGTATGACTTTTAAGTAATTAATTTGCATTTTATTGCATGACATAAGTATTTAATCACCTACCAACCAGTAAGAATTCCGGCTCTCACAGACCTGTTAGTTTTGCTTTAAGACGCCCTCCTGTTCTCCACTCATTACCTGTATTAACTGCACCTGTTTGAACTCGTTACCTGTATAAAAGACACCTGTCCACACACTCAATCAAACAGACTCCAACCTCTCCACAATGGCCAAGACCAGAGAGCTGTGTAAGGACATCAGGGATAAAATTGTAGACCTGCACAAGGCTGGGATGGTCTACAGGACAATAGGCAAGCAGCTTGGTGAGAAGGCAACAACTGTTGGCGCAATTATTAGAAAATGGAAGAAGTTCAAGATGACGGTCAATCACCCTCGGTCTGGGGCTCCATGCAAGATCTCACCTCGTGGGGCATCAATGAGGAAGGTGAGGGATCAGCCCACAACTACACGGCAGGACCTGGTCAATGACCTGAAGAGAGCTGGGACCACAGTCTCAAAGAAAACCATTAGTAACACACTACGCCGTCATGGATTAAAATCCTGCAGCGCACGCAAGGTCCCCCTGCTCAATCCAGCGCATGTCCAGGCCCGTCTGAAATTTGCCAATGACCATCTGGATGATCCAGAGGAGGAATGGGTGAAGGTCATGTGGTCTGATGAGACAAAAATAGAGCTTTTTGGTCTAAACTCTACTCGCCGTGTTTGGAGGAAGAAGAAGGATGAGTACAACCCCAAGAACACCATCCCAACCGTGAAGCATGGAGGTGGAAACATCATTCTTTGGGGATGCTTTTCTGCAAAGGGGACAGGATTACTGCAGCGTATTGAGGGGAGGATGGATGTATCGCGAGATCTTGGCCAACAACCTCCTTCCCTCAGTAAGAGCATTGAAGATGGGTCGTGGCTGGGTCTTCCAGCATGACAACGACCCAAAACACACAGCCAGGGCAACTAAGGAGTGGCTCCGTAAGAAGCATCTCAAGGTCCTGGAGTGGCCTAGCCAGTCTCCAGACCTGAACCCAATAGAACATCTTTGGAGGGAGCTGAAAGTCCGTATTGCCCAGCAACAGCCCCGAAACCTGAAGGATCTGGAGAAGGTCTGTATGGAGGAGTGGGCCAAAATCCCTGCAGCAGTGTGTGCAAACCTGGTCAAGACCTACAGGAAACGTATGATCTCTGTAATTGCAAACAAAGGTTTCTGTACCAAATATGAAGTGCTGCTCTTCTGATGTATCAAATACTTATGTCATGCAATAAAATTCTAATTAGTTACTTAAAAATCATACAATGTGATTTTCTGGAAAAAATTAGATTCCGTCTCTCACAGTTGAAGTGTACCTATGATAAAAATTACAGACCTCTACATGCTTTGTAAGTAGGAATACCTGCAAAATCGGCAGTGTATCAAATACTTGTTCTCCCCACTGTATATGCCTCATCACAATTCTATCTCGGAGATCTAGTTTCTGCTCTGACATGCACTGGTGTGTTTCTTTCTAAATCATGTCCAAACAATTGAATTGGCCACAGGTGGACATCAATCAAGTTGTAGTGACATCTCAAGGATGATCAAAGGAAATTGGATGCACCTGAGCGCAATTTGGAGTGTCATAGCAAAGGGGTGTGAATACTTACAGTACCAGTCAAAAGTTTGGACACACCTACTCATTCAAGGGTTTTTCTTTATTTTTACTATTTTCTACATTGTAGAAAATAGTGAAGACATCAAAACTATGAAATAACACATATGGAATCATGTAGTAACCAAAAAAGTGTCAAACAAATCAAAATATATTTTAAATTTTAGATTCTTCAAAGTAGCCACCTTTTGCTTTGATGAAAGCTTTGCACACTCTTCTCTCAACCAGCTTAATGAGGTAGTCACCTGGAATGCTTTTCCAACAGTCTTGAAGGAGTTCCCACATATGCTGAGCACTTGTTGGCTGCTTTTCCTTCACTCTGCCGTCCAACTATTCCCAAACCATCTCAATTGGGTTGAAGTTGGGTGATTGTGGAGACCAGGTCATCTGACGCAGCACTCAATCACTCTCCTTCTTGGTCAAATAGCCGTTACACAGCCTGGAGGTGTGTTTTGGGTCATTGTCCTGTTGAAAAACAAATGATAGTCCCACTAAGCGCAAACCAGATGGGATGGCATATCGCTGCAGAATGCTGTGGTAGCAATGCTGGTTAAGTGTGCCTTGAATTCTAAATAAATCACAGAGTTTCACCAGCAAAGCAACGCCACACCATCACACCTCCTCCTCCATGCTTCACGGTGGGAACCACACATGCATAGATCATCCGTTTACCTACTCTGCGTCTCACAAAGACACAGTGGTTGGAACCAGAAATCTCAAATTTGGACTCATCAGACCAAAATACAGATTTCTACTGGTCTAATGTCCATTGCTCGTGTTTCTTGGCCAAGCAAGTCTTTTCTTATTATTGGTGTCTTTATAGTGGTTTCTTTGCATCAAATCGACCATGAAGGCCTGATTCACGTGGCCTCCTCTGAACAGTTGATCTTGAGATGTGTCTGTTACTTGAACTGTGAAGCATTTATTTGGGCTGCAATCTGAGGTGCAGTTAATTGCCAATTTCTGAGGCTGGTAACTCTAATGAACTTATCCTCTGCAGCAGAGGTAACTCTGGGTCTTCCTTTCCTGTGGCGGTCCTCATGAGAGCCAGTTTTATGGTTTTTGCAACTGCACTTGAAGAAACTTTCAAAGTTCTTGACATTTTCCGTATTGACTGACCTTCATGTCTTAAAGTAATGATGGACTGTAATTTCTCTTTGCTTATTTGAGCTGTTCATGCCATAATATGGACTTGGTCTTTTACCAAATAGGGCTACCTTCTGTATACCAACCCTACCTTGTCACAACACAACTGATTGTCTCAAACGCATTAATAAGGAAATACATTCCACAAATTAACTTTTAACAAGGCACAGCTGTTAATTGAAATATATTCTAGGTGACTACCTCATGAAGCTGGTTGAGAGAATACCAAGAGTGTGCAAAGCTTTCATCAAGGCAAAGGGTGGCTACTTTGTATGTAAATTTTCTTATTTCATTTTCAATAAATTAGCTAACCTTTCTAAACATGTTTTCACATTGTCATTATGGGTTATTGTGTGTAGATGGGTGAGAGAAAAATATATTTAATCCATTTTGATTTCAGGCTGTAACACAACAAAATGTGGAATAAGTCAAGGGGTATGAATAGTTTCTGAAGGCACTTTTGCAATTTTAATGACATATCCCCTCTATCCCCACTATTCCTACTGATTGGCACCATGGGTAGTAGTAGTAATAAATGACTGGTCTTGTTGCTAAGTGATTATGTATTATTATCCTGATCAACAAGGAAAATGTGATATATGGGGGCAGTTTGTTGGACACAGATTAATCCTATTCCTGGAATAAAAAGAAAACTCAAAGGAGAATCTCCATCAAAAATGCTTTTTAGTCCAGGACTAGACTTAATGTGTCCAGACAACTGCCCAATAATGTTTATATATGACTAGATTGCCATATATTAAACTATTTTGCTTCTGTAAATGAAATGATGCTGTCAAACTGTTGTTTAAAACCCCAAATGGAATTGAGCCACTTTTCATTTTTTTTGCATATTAATAACTCAACAACGGGCAGGACCAGAAGATCGGGTGCTCTACATAGCTAATGACACTGAAATCCGAAGTTTTGTGTATCCGTTTAACCAGAGCCATGGACACAAACTCCTCACTCGCATTGAGGACAATGCCCGCATTATTGGGATGGATGCTCTGTTACACCAACAAAAGTTTATCTGGGCTACCCAGTTTAACCCTGGTGGACTTTTTTACAAAGAAATCCTAGACAAGAGTCAAACTGAAACTAATGCCGGAAACATAGTAAGTATCTCCAAAGGTGTGGTTAGGGTGGTTGGAAAGTCTACTTTACTTTTTAATGTATGATAGAGTTGTCCATTCAATGTCCGGTTACTAATATCCACAGGATAGCTGCAGTATTGTTTAAGTAACACTATTACAAGAAATGCATGTTTTTTCTTTCTTTTCTAAAGCCATTGAAGCTACAGTATGTCTTGGTTATTGCATTTGAGCACAATTAATTATAGAATGATTATAGCCGCGAGAGCTTGAATATAGCAGTGAGTGCTTGAAGATAAAATGTCTCAAATAGTCACATATCTAATGTGAGCAAGAGTACAGAACATGAGCAAGGTGCCAAGCTTTTTCCAGTTTTTGTTTGAATTAAAGGAGAATAATGACACATTTAGAAAAATTGTCTATGTTCCTAAACCCCTCTGACTCATTGTTGGACTGTCTGTCAAAGTGTGCACCTCTCTCACTCAGGGAGAGCGAGGTAGAGCTAGAGCGAGAGCTACGTCACAGGGTTATACAGCCCCCCACGCACTGCAGCGCTAGATAGATCTTTTTGGAAAAACGCAAAAATATAAACGTTCTATCACAGCGAAAATACTAAATTTGGGAAATCTAATCGATTGTGAGATATGGCATATACATTTTGTGTGATAAATTTGGGTCGCGGGTTCACAAGATCTCGGCCAAGCAAGGAGGGAACAGCAGCCAGCTCAATGAAAAACACACACACGAGGGGGCTCCTCATAACCACAACACACTGGCAGTTATCAAAATAGCCTACATCAGACGTTAGCCCATCACCCAACGCGACACGTTTTTACTATGTTGTCAGAAGCATCATCTGACCTCACTAGGAGCCTATTTCATTTATCTCTTTCAATGCTCTGGAAACCAAGCAGAAAATGCTGTGCTCTAAGCCTCCCGATTGGTGCAGTGGTCTAAGGCACTGCATCGCAGTGCTTGAGGCGTCACTACAGAACCGGGTTCAACCGGCTGTGGCCGAGAGTCCCATAGGGCGGCGCACAACTGGCCCAGCGTTGTCCGGGTTAGGGGAGGGTTTGGCCCGGGGGGCTTTACGTATGGAGGATGTATGACTCGACCTTCGCCTCCCCGAGCCTGTTGGATCGTAATTGGATCGCAATTGGATATCACGAAATTGGGGAGAAAAGGGGGAGAAAAAAATTATACAAAATGCTGTGCTCTAAAGTTGGCATCGTAGCCACACAAATACATTAGAAGATAATTGTCGATCTGATCAGAAACACTGTGCTCACAACCTTTGTCTCCTAAATGATGTCGCTGGTGTATTTTGTTAGAAGTCTTAAATATATTCCGCAATAGGCTATAAAGTTTTTCCCAGGTGCGAGCGTGGAACAACACACATAACGAGCTCGATGAATAGAATTAGATAAGAAAATATCCGGCTACCTTTCTGTCATGTCAACCATCCATCCAAATCAAACAATTCCATGTGTCCGCCTTTTGTCTTGATTAACATTCACATAGCCTATTCCATGATACAGTGAGGGAAAAAAGTATTTGATCCCCTGCTGATTTTGTACGTTTGCCCACTGAAAAAGAAATGATCAGTCTATAATTTTAATAGTAGGTTTATTTGAACAGTGAGAGACAGAATAACAACAACAAAATCCAGAAAAATGCATGTAAAAAATGTTATAAATTTATTTGAATTTTAATGAGGGAAATAAGTATTTGACCCCTCTGCAAAACATGACCTAGTACTTGGTGGCAAAACCGTTGTTGGCAATCACAGAGGTCAAACGTTTCTTGTAGTTGACCACCAGGTTTGCACACATCTCAGGAGGGATTTTGTCCCACTCCTCTTTGCAGATCTTCTCCAAGTCATTAAGGTTTCGAGGCTGACGTTTGGCAACTCGAACCTTCAGCTCCCTCCACAGATTTTCTATGGGATTAAGGTCTGGAGACTGGCTAGGCCACTCCAGGACCTTAATGTGCTTCTTCTTGAGCCACTCCTTTGTTGCCTTGGCCGTGTGTTTTGGGTCATTGTAATGCTGGAATAGCCATCCACAACTTATTTTCAATGCCCTGGCTGAGGGAAGGAGGTTGTCACCCAAGATTTGACGGTACATGGCCCCGTCCATCGTCCCTTTGATGCGGTGAAGTTGTCCTGTCCCCTTAGCAGAAAAACACCCCCAAAGTATAATGTTTCCACCTCCATGTTTGACGGTGGGGATGGTGTTCTTGGGGTCATAGGCAGCATTCCTCCTCCTCCAAACATGGCGAGTTGAGTTGATGCCAAAGAGCTCCATTTTGGTCTCATCTGACCACAACACTTTCACCCAGTTCTCCTCTGAATCATTCAGATGTTCATTGGCAAACTTCAGACGGGCATGTATATGTGCTTTCTTGAGCAGGGGGACCTGGCGGGCGCTGCAGGATTTCAGTCCTTCACGGCATAGTGTGTTACCAATTGTTTTCTTGGTGACTATGGTCCCAGCTGCCTTGAGATCATTGACAAGATCCTCCCGTGTAGTTCTGAGCTGATTCCTCACTGTTCTCATGATCATTGCAACTCCACGAGGTGAGATCTTGCATGGAGCCCCAGGCCGAGGGAGATTGACAGTTATTTTGTGTTTCTTCCATTTGCGAATAATCGCACCAACTGTTGTCACCTTCTCACCAAGTTGCTTGGCAATGGTCTTGTAGCCCATTCCATTGTGTAGGTCTACAATCTTGTCCCTGACATCCTTGGAGAGCTCTTTGGTCTTGGCCATGGTGGAGAGTTTGGATTCTGATTGATTGATTGCTTCTGTGGACAGGTGTATTTTATACAGGTAACAAACTGAGATTAGGAGCACTCCCTTTTAGAGTGTGCTCCTAATCTCAGCTCGTTACCTGTATAAGAGACACCTGGGAGACAGAAATATTTCTGATTGAGAGGGGTTCAAATACTTAATTCCCTCATTAAAATGCAAATCAATTTATAACATTTTTGCCATGCATTTTTCTGGATTTTTTTGTTGTTATTCTGTCTCTCACTGTTCAAATATACCTACCATTAAAATTATAGACTGATCATTTCTTTGTCAGTGGGCAAACGTACAAAATCAGCAGGGGATCAAATACTTTTTTCCCTCACTGTATGGGGTAATCCAATGATCAACACTGCAGCTGTTGATTGCAGTGATCAGCATTCCTCACGTATGCTATATAAATTATAATCAATACACGACTTTCACGAGTAGGGTATTTGATGCAAGGGTATTTGATGCAAACATAGGCTATAAGAATACTTTTCAATAATGCCTAAATTATCACATTCTCTTGCTCGCTCGAGTTAGGCAATTTGGCCCGGGCTTGCAAATGAAATCCCATGCATCATTTTGTAAATTATTGTCATTATTCTACCGATTGGAAAATGTAAATGTAGGCTAATAATAAATGTAAAAATATTTGATCTACCCCAATGACAACTTGGACAGTGAGCATAGATCGTTTTTCGATAGATGCATGCATCAGTACCTAGGCTATCTATTATATCTGCAACATACATTTTATTTACAATATGTTCGCTGTCAGCTGGCTACTGTAGGAAAATTACAATCTAATGAAACATTTGTTACATAAATGAGCCTTTTAGCCCATATGTGTCATCCTATGAAGTGGATGTTATGTTGCATGCTCAGTAGTCTTTCCCTCTAATTTTAGTAGATATATTTTGGGGTGTAGCCTACTGTCAGAGGGAAGATGGACAATATTGATTGGCAGGTGAAATGTAAAAGTGGGAGGAAGAGATCTCAGAAAATGTCAAATTGTGAACCCGTGACCCCAAATGTATCACATAAAATGTATATGCCATATCTCACAATCGATTTGACTTCACAAATGTTGTATTTTTGGTGTGACAGAACATTTATATTTTTGTAGATTAGAGTTTATTACACAAAGATCTATCTAGCACTGCAGTGCGTGGGGGGGCTGTATAACCCTGTGCCGTAGCTCTCGCTCTAGCTCTACCTCGCTCTCCCTGAGTGAGAGATGTCCTTGCTTTGACAGACAGTCCAACAACAAGTCAGAGGGGTTTAGGAACATGGACACGTTTTAGAAATGTGCCATTATTCCCCATTAATTCAATGCATTTCTTGGACGATTCATTTTTCTCATTTGTAGATATGCCTACTGACAAAGTCGAAGAAAGCCATTGCATTGTTTTATGATTAATCTTTCAATGTCATTTGGAGATACTCTTATTCAAAGACCATGATTTACATTAATCTAAAGTTTGAGCCATTGTTGTTACATTGGAAACATTACTGTATATAATAACCTGATCACACGCATGACATCTTACACATTAAACATAGGCTACTAAACCTTTACTAGCACCAAGTATTTCATTAGACATACCTTTATCATGTTTGATATGGGAAAGAATAGTGAGTGCATCTAAATAAGCCAATGGATAAGAATATTCTTCACATCTGAATGTTGAAAGTTTCAAGTTTATTTGCCATATTTAATACAAATACCTTGAAAGTCTTTGTCATGTTCACGCTTTCATGTTTACAAGCTCTGATTTTCCTTGAAGTGTTCAGACTTCCGTAGACCGAGGGATGTGTCAGCTGACTGGATTACAGGAAATATCTATTGGACAGACCATTCTCGGATGCACTGGTTCAGCTATTACACAGCTCACTGGACTAAGCTCAGATACTCTATAAACGTGGGCCAGCTCAGAGGGCCAAATTGCACCCGTCTGATAACTGACATTGCAGGAGAGCCGTATGCCATCACTGTCAACCCAGCCCGAGGGTAAGAGCATCCTTTTCATACAATGTTAAATTTAATCATTATGTTGTCACTTTATACCTTTTTGCTTCGTCGTTCTTTTGTAACTGCTGCATCCAAGATGGTTTCCAAGATGTGTTTTCTTTACTGATTTGTTAAGTCATAACTATAGACAGGGATTCCAGGGATTCTTTAAATATACAGTGGGGAGAACAAGTATTTGATACACTGTCGATTTTGCAGGTTTTCCTACTTACAAAGCATGTAGAGGTCTGTAATTTTTATCATAGGTACACTTCAACTGTGAGAGACGGAATCTAAAACAAAAATCCAGAAAATCACATTGTATGATTTTTAAGTATTGCATGACATAAGTATTTGATACATCAGAAAAGCAGAACTTAATATTTGGTACAGAAACCTTTGTTTGCAATTACAGTGATCATGCATTTCCTGTAGGTCTTGACCAGGTTTGCACACACTGCAGCAGGGATTTTGGCCCACTCCTCCATACAGACCTTCTCCAGATCCTTCAGGTTTCGGGGCTGTCGCTGGGCAATACGGACTTTCAGCTCCCTCCAAAGATTTTCTATTGGGTTCAGGTCTGGAGACTGGCTAGGCCACTCCAGGACCTTGAGATGCTTCTTACGGAGCCACTCCTTAGTTGCCCTGGCTGTGTGTTTTGGGTCGTTGTCATGCTGGAAGACCCAGCCACGACCCATCTTCAATGCTCTTACTGAGGGAAGGAGGTTGTTGGCCAAGATTTCGCGATACATGGCCCCATCCATCCTCCCCTCAATACGGTGCAGTCGTCCTGTCCCCTTTGCAGAAAAGCATCCCAAAATAATTATGTTTCCACCTCCATGCTTCACGGTTGGGATGGTGTTCTTGGGGTTGTACTCATCCTTCTTCTTCCTCCAAACACGGCGAGTGGAGTTTAGACCAAAAAGCTCTATTTTTGTCTCATCAGACCACATGACCTTCTCCCATTCCTCCTCTGGATCATCCAGATGGCCATTGGCAAACTTCAGACGGGCCTGGACATGCGCTGGCTTGATCAGGGGCACCTTGCGTGCACTGCAGGATTTTAATCCATGACGGCGTAGTGTGTTACTAATGGTTTTCTTTGAGACTGTGGTCCCAGCTCTATTCAGGTCATTGACCAGGTCCTGCCGTGTAGTTCTGGGCTGATCCCTCACCTTCCTCATGATCATTGATGCCCCACGAGGTGAGATCTTGCATGGAGCCCCAGACCGAGGGTGATTGACCGTCATCTTGAACTTCTTCCATTTTCTAATAATTGCGCCAACAGTTGTTGCCTTCTCACCAAGCTGCTTGCCTATTGTCCTGTAGCCCATCCCAGCCTTGTGCAGGTCTACAATTTTATCCCTGATGTCCTTACACAGCTCTCTGGTCTTGGCCATTGTGGAGAGGTTGGAGTCTGTTTGATTGAGTGTGTGGACAGGTGTCTTTTATACAGGTAACGAGTTCAAACAGGTGCAGTTAATACAGGTAATAAGTGGAGAACAGGAGGGCTTCTTAAAGAAAAACTAACAGGTCTGTGAGAGCCGGACTTCTTACTGGTTGGTAGGTGATCAAATACTTATGTCATGCAATAAAATGCAAATTAATTACTTAAAAATCATACAATGTGATTTTCTGGATTTTTTTATTACCTATGATAAAAATTACAGACCTCTACATGCTTTGTTAGTAGGAAAACCTGCAAAATCGGCAGTGTATCAAATACTTGTTCTCCCCACTGTAGCAGGCATTCCAGGGATTCTTTGAATATAGCAGGGATTCTATAAGTATAGACAGGGATTCCTATCTCTGTGCATTTAATCCCCTGATATCCATTAAACCAGATGCTATGGAGACCCAACAGAAAATGCTTGTCTTTGTACCTTCTACAGGATGATGTATTGGACAGTAATAGGTGATCATTCTCATATTGAGGAGTCGGCTATGGATGGGTCCATGCGTAGGATCTTTTTGGAGAAGAACCTCAGGAGACCAACAGGTATCTACAGTACAGTGTCTCCTCATGTCACATTAGTATGTTTGATTTAGCTAACATACTGTACCACAGGAGAAAACTTTTTGACAACTGAATGAAGTGTGAAGACTGAAACAGTAGGGAAATGTCATTACACATACACATCATATTTATCTGCCTGTATTTTCCAAGTCCATACATATATTTTCATTAAGATGTGATGTTGTAAACTAGCCTAGTTCCAGATCTGTCTGTGCAGTCTTGTTAATGGCAATGACTGTAGGAGTTGGCAAGACAGCAAATACCGATCTGGGACCAGGCTAGTTGTAGACTAGAGGATAAAGCTATTTAAAATAAGGCCATGGAAAAAAGTAAATTAATGTCTCTGACACACCAAACCTGTTGTGATGGTGCTGGGGGAGACACTTGGTGCTGATCTAGTTTTTAAAGATGGTTTGGCCTCCTTTAATATCAGGGACCCATGAACTGTCTCGGTCAAGGTAGAGGGAATTCATAATCTGTGGAAAAACGCACACCCATTTAATCACCATGGCATCTTGGGTTGTTTATCCACCCCAACACATGATAGGAATAAAAAGTCACTTATGAACAGAAATGTAGACTTAACACCAAAAGTCTGTCATCAAAAGAAAAGACAAATATGCTTGTATGTATATATATATATATATATCCTGTAGTATGATTCCATTTCAAAGTTAATGACTTTCTCTCGGCTGCATAGGAAGTGAGGTACCAAGAGGAGATAAATGAAATAACTGTCAGTTTATGCGGTCTATCCGCAGTTTATATGGAACGTTGACAGCTGCAATCCATGCAATTGTGTTCAAATATTTCAAAAACACTGTTTAGAATTCTCTTTCTGAGGGCTCTCAGAATGAAAGCGTCCATATTGATCTTTACAAAATTCATAAGGAAAATAAATCTCATTCTCTCATCCTCCCCCAGGTCTGGCCATCGATTACTTCAACCAACGTTTGTACTGGGCTGATCCTGAGCTCTCCGAGATAGGCAGTGTGAGATTGGATGGGTCGGACCCTCTAGTGGCAATCAGTGACAGACACGGTAACACTACCCCGAGAACAAAACAAATATTTACTTTCCAAGCACATACTAGTTACTGATGTGATAGTCATTTAATTTCCTCTACATTTTATCAACAGATTGCTACAATAACATAGAGTGTGTGCGTGAGTGTGCAGTCTTTGCCTTGGGATCTTTTTCCAGTAACAGTGGCAAAGTTGCGGGGGGAGGGGGGAGGGGGGGGGGGGGCTAGTGGCTGTGGCCAATGGCACAGTCTACCACCAAAATGTTTAGAGGCCCTCTTGGCCGCAGAGACAGAATTTTGTTCTTTTAAAGCTAATTTCTTGCAATTCTACACATTTTGCCATGGCTTATGCCGTGTTTGTATGCTATCTGAGTGACTCAAACTTAACAAAATCAATAGGGGCCCCCATGACATGACATTTAAAAAAAGAAAAATATTCTCCCTGACTGTCTAGTTTTTATTTTGGTGGTTGTTTGTTCTCAAAGATGATCTTATAAAAAAATATATATATAGCTCCATTATCTTTTCTACATACTTTATATTTGGTTTTAGTCGTTTAAGTTTACACTGAAAACCTTTTACCATCCAGAATAGGATTTTTATATATATATATATATATCATTTTTATTTTTTCACACAGTGTTTATGGTCATATGCGTCTTTCCACCCTACCTTCATTCTGTTTCCATGGCTGTGTTTCCAGGAATATCCCAGCCATACAGGATTGACATATTTGAAGACTACATCTACGGGACTGGGCTAAAACATGAAGTCTTCCGAGTTCACAAGTATGGCAAACAGCCTGTGGAGTTTCTCCACTTGGGTCTCGAGAAAACTACCAATGTCATGATCTCCCACCGATACGAGCAGCAAGATGGTAAATATATAAAGTCTACTGCTGTGTTTCAGTGGGTATTTTTATTAATACCAATGTTAATGAGGGTCATGGGTAATACAGGGAAATTAGGAGGGTCATGTGCATAGTGAAAGTTCTATTTGAATAGCCTTCAAGATTAAATGGAAGCATAACAGGGGAAACTAACATGATATTACAGTAACAAACAATAGTAACGGCAATGCACCAATGTAGTGTTGATATTCTAGCTGGTTCACCAACACAGAGTGCAGATAACTGTGGGTCCACAGCCTGAATGGAAATGGAGGAGCTCTGTTTCTTGAGCTAGTTTTTCATTTTCTCAAGTGTGGGACATGAGAGAGTCATCTTATCTCCCATGTTAGGACCAATCGAACCAATATATCCCTCATCCTCTGCCTCTCCACTTCTCTTTTTCCAGTAGCCCTCGGTTGCTATTTGTTATCTGAATAGTGTTTATGGTTGTGGAGCGTCGGACAATAAAGGACAGCTGAACCGTTCCCCAAAGACTCATTAGTTCAGCCATGTAGCCTACTCTTCGGGCAGCAGAAGTTACTGCACAGCTAGCAGAACAGAAAGACCAGGAGTGTTACTGTTGGTTTGATGTCTTCAGCAGAACACACAGACACCCTATTATTTCGCTAGCTTTGAACCACGATGATCCCCATAACCCCAAACACAACAAATCTGTGTAATTGGAGAACTGTGTTTTTTTCAGTTATTATTGAAAACCCAACACTTCCATTGACTTATTGGAGCAATATGGCAGCATGCTGCTGATGTGGTGCATATCAAAGTAGTGTTCACTAACAGGGCATAGTAGTCCTCTAGGACCAGGAATTGAGTGGAATATGGACCATATCGCTTGTCGATTCTGAATAGAAATACATTGGTGGATAGTATGAGCTAAATCATAAATTCCCTGTCTGTTTGCCTCAGAATGTTAATGTTTAATGGAAGAACAATAATAAAGGAATGGACGTTTTTTATTTGACGGCTGTATTGAAGCTTCGGCTTGAATGATAAATCCTCTTGGCATTTGCCTCTTGTCTTTCTGCAGCGGTCAACCCATGCCTGAGAATGAACTGTGACTTCATGTGTCTACTGAACCCAACGGGCGCCACCTGCACCTGTCCAGAAGGGAAGGTACTGGTCAACGGCTGCTGCAGTGATGTCAACATCTCAGGTAAGCTCGTCAAGACCCCTGCTTAGACCTCACCTACTGCCTGCAAATCAAATCAAATCAAATTTTATTGGCCACATGCGCCGAATACAACAGGTGCAGACATTACAGTGAAATGCTTACTTACAGCCCTTAACCAACAGTGCATTTATTTTTAATAAAAAAGTAGAATAAAACAACAAAAAAGTGTTGAGAAAAAAAGAGCAGAGGTAAAATAAAATAACAGTACGGAGGCTATATATACAGGGGGGTACCGGTGCAGAGTCAATGTGCGGGGGCACCGGCTAGTTGAAGTAATATGTACATGTGGGTAGAGTTAAAGTGACTATGCATAAATAATTAACAGAGTAGCAGCAGTGTAAAAAGATGGGGTGGGGGGGCAGTGCAAATAGTCCGGGTAGCCATGATTAGCTATTCAGGAGTCTTATGGCTTGGGGGTAGAAGCTGTTGAGAAGTCTTTTGGACCTAGACTTGGCACTCATGTACCGCTTGCCGTGCGGTAGTAGAGAGAACAGTCTATGACTAGGGTGGCTGGAGTCTTTGACAATTTTGAGGGTGTTCCTCTGACACCGCCTGGTATAGAGGTCCTGGATGGCAGGAAGCTTGGCCCCAGTGATGTACTGGGCCGTACGCACTACCCTCTGTAGTGCCTTGCGGTCGGAGGCCAAGCAGTTGCCATACCAGGCGGTGATGCAACCAGTCAGGATGCTCTCGATGGTGCAGCTGGACCCATGCCAAATCTTTTCAGTCTCCTGAGGGGGAATAGGCTTTGTCGTGCCCTCTTCACGACTGACTTGGTGTGTTTGGACCATGATAGTTCGTTGGTGATGTAGACACCAAGGAACTTGAAGCTCTCAACCAGTTCCACTACAGCCCCGTCGATGAGAATGGGGGTGTACTCAGTCCTCTTTTTTTTCCTGTAGTCCACAATCATCTCCTTTGTCTTGGTCACGTTGAGGGAGAGGTTGTTATCCTGGCACCACACGGCCAGGTGTCTGACCTCCTCCCTATAGGCTGTCTCATCGTTGTCGGTGATCAGGCCTACCACTGTTGTGTCGTCGGCAAACTTAATGATGGTGTTGGAGTCGTGCCTGGCCATGCTGTCATGGGTGAACAGGGAGTACAGGAGGGGTTCTGAGCACGCACCCCTGAAGGGCCCCCGTGTTGAGGATCAGTGTGGCAGATGTGTTGTTACCTACCCTTACCACCTGGGGGCGGCCCGTCAGGAAGTCCAGGATCCAGTTGCAGAGGGAGGTGTTTAGTCCCAGGATCCTTAGCTTAGTGATGAGCTTAGAGGGCACTATGGTGTTGAATGCTGAGCTGTAGTCAATGAATAGCATTCTCACGTAGGTGTTCCTCTTGTCCAGGTGGGAAAGGGCAGTGTGGAGTGCAATAGAGATTGCATCATCTGTGGATCTGTTGGGGCGGTATGCAAATTGGAGTGGGTCTAGGGTTTCTGGGATAATGGTGTTGATGTGAGCCATGACCAGCCTTTCAAAGCACTTCATGGCTACAAATGTCAGTGCTACGGGTCGGTAGTCATTTAGGCAGGTTATCTTAGAGTCCTTGGGCACGGGGACAATGGTGGTCTGCTTGAAACATGTTGGTATTACAGACTCAGTCAGGGACATGTTGAAAATGTCAGTGAAGACACTTGCCAGTTGGTCAGCACATGCTCGGAGTACACGTCCTGGTAATCCGTCTGGCCCTGCGGCCTTGTGAATGTTGACCTGCTTAAAAGTCTTACGTCACCTCTAAAACTGCTACAGGAGCAGGACCCAGCTGAGAAAGAACTTGGCCAATGCAAATTAATGAAGTAAAATCTTTCTGAATCTCTCAGCATTTTGTGTACTTCAAAAGAAGACTTGAAATTGAAGGAGCATGTTTTGAAATGATAGAATAAGATGACATGCTTGTACAGTATCAACCTCTTTCTACTGGCCCAGGGCTAAATGAATGTATCTGTAGACACTGATGATATTCATAGTTTACAAATAAAAGGTACTTCAAAAAGCTGTGTGTACAAGATCAGCATAACGAACATACTGTCTTGATGTGTTGAAGGCGAGCTGTGCCGGCCACCGTGTGAGAACGGCGGGCGCTGCCTGGCCAATGAGAAAGGGGACTGGCGTTGCTACTGTTGGCCTGACTTTTCTGGAGAACGCTGTGAGGTCAACCACTGCACCGACTACTGCCTCAATGGAGGCACCTGCATGGGCTCACCCCTGGGTGAGTCTGCTGTTAAAATCCATATATTGATTGGTGGATGGCTGGATTGATTGATTGATCATAAGGTGATTGACATAAGCTGTTATGTGCCCAGGTGTCTTTACTAATAAGTCGTTAGTTTAAGAACTCTCTAGGTTGTTGGGAGTGGTCAGTAGCTAAAGATGTTTGTGCTATAACAGTCTTATAAAATTGATTGATTGAATTTGGTAGTACAAGCGTATTATACTTTGTTTACACAGGCAGCCCAATTCTGATCTTCTTTTGACCAATCAGGTCAGCTCTGAAAAATATCTGATGTGAAAGATCTAATGTGATTGGTCAAAAGACAAATTAGTGGAAAAGTTATCATAATTGGGCTGCCTGTGTAAACGCAGCCATAGAGTCAAGACATTATAATGGAACTGATCATGTTTCATATTGTTAGTTTGCCACTCATCCTTTCTAACATGGATAAACTAAAATAGTGCAGAGCACCTGAGTTTTACTTTACGTCTCTTTGCTACAAACCAGTCAACCGGTTACATAATGCATGCAAGAGGGAAATTATTCACAACATCTGAGTCTTAGCAACGATGGACTGTGTGGACTCACGAGCAATTACCCATAGAGAAAGATAAATTTGGATTACTGTGGTTTCCTGACTGTTACTCAAATAAATAATACATGTTTTGAAGGTTTGTGGAAATATTAAATCACTTCATGGATTGCAAGGAATTCATTTCGCTGTGCTTGTGCATGTGACATTAAAACTTGAAACTGAAACTAAACCTTAAAAAATGCCGAAAGTCCATTTTAGAGAGAATGCTAAATATAATAGCTGAATGTTGAATGCTAACATAAATAGCATAAATACGGTTATTGAACAGTCAGAGTAGTTTTATTGCTCCTGTCATGACTGGGGGTAGATACAGTATATAGAGATTTGTCTACGACTTTTGATTTGAATCTTTTAGTCTGGGAAGTGAAATGTTTGCACTTAAAACATATTTTCTCATCTCCTCGTAATAATAAATGTGTAATCTATCATAAAATACTTTAATTTGCTACAGTCTCTGGTCATTTTATTTACAATATCTAAGTACACTCTTGGCCAGGATAAATGAAGATCAGGTATTTGATAGTTTAGGAATAATGTGTTGAGAACATGTTCTCAGTCCATTGACTTCAAGCTGTCCGTTATTTGTATTATGACAGCAGTATTTGGCTAGTGAGCTGGACAGATGCCTGATATGTGTTTCAGTGATATGCAATAACTTATTCATATGTGATTGAAGCGAAGTGAGTATTGCAGAAGGATTATACATTATTTGGAGAGTTGGAGGAAAGCTTTCTTCTTCCTTTGTTGACTATCAGTCTTATTTTGTGCTTGGTTCACAAGCGCAGTCAGTGCTCTGTGTTATATGTCCAATGCAGTCAAAGAGGAGTGAAACAAAGTGATGGGATATTTGTTCCGCTGCTGGGCATACAGACACTGACTGTTCTGTCTGTTCATTCATGCTTTGCGACTGACTGATTTTTCATAAAGTAAGAGGTTTCGCTGCGTTGAGCAGGCTTGGGGAGTATTGCTCTAAATGAGCAATGGAAGCTGAGCTTGGGAGAGCTTACTGTCAAATGTGTTTCCTCATGTACCCCAGTTTGGTGATTATGAGAACAGGCCTCACTGGAGGCAGCCACTGTTATCAATTAAAGGACTGAATATATGTCAATTATATATCTCTGACCTCCAGGCACCTTGTGTTATTAAGAACCCGCTATCTTTTTTCGGATACTTGATAGTCAGCTTTGGGAACAAACACACACAACCTTAAAAACACTTGAGTTGATAACCATGCCCAGAATGGTCAGCCAAACTTCTCTTCTCTTCTCTTTCTCTCTCCTCCTCTTTCCCCCCTCTCCTCCCTCTGTTCTCTCCTCTCTCCCTCAAGGCAAGCCAACGTGTCGGTGCCCTGTAGGGTTTACAGGTCCGTTCTGTGAGAAGCGGGTGTGTGATAACCACTGTCTGAATGGTGGTACTTGTGATGTCAGCTTAGGGAACCAGCCAGTGTGCCGCTGCATGGCAGAGTATACTGGAGACCGCTGTCTTTACCGTGAGTAAATGGATCCAATTGCATATTGACTCTTGGAGTTGCCCAGTGTTTCTTGGGGTGGTCCTCTGTAGCTCAGTTTGTAGAGCATTGCTCTTGCAATGTCAGGATAGTGGTTTGATTCCCGGGACCACCCATACATACAAATATTATGCACGCATGACTGTAGCTTTCTTTGGATAAAACTATTTGTTTTGACCTGAAAGGGCATTTCCTTCTTAGCTACAAATACCACGTTTGGGCGAGAGAGTAATTATAAATGCCACTCTAAACAACCTCTTGGGGTTTGTGTGCTGCACTGATAATAAATGTCCTTCTCTTATGTAGGCTTTGTCATTATAAATTGTGAGGAAAACAATTTCAACTGACACTATTAGTGCATTTCTACTGTTACTTGCCCATGGGGTGATACGTTTTCATCTATGGATGAGATGCCATTTGATGCAGATAATTAAGTCTCATTAAAAGCCTGTAAAATTCTAATTAAACCAGCTGAAACTATGCGCAGTTTCCTCATTATGAAATGCTCTCTCTCTCTCTTTCTCTCTCTCCTCTGTTCTTTCTCTCCTCTGACAGACATCTGCCACCACTACTGTGTAAACTCCAAGGCCTGTACGTTGTCCAGTAGTGGCCATGTAGAGTGTGTGTGTCCGGTCAGATACGAGGGAAACAAGTGTGAGGTGGATAAGTGCCTGAGGTGTCACGGAGCACCTTGCCTCGTCAACGATGACACAGCAGATGTGGTCTGCAAGTGAGTTGTTGTTAGCATCTTACGACATTGCTTTATATTCTGTGTTGGGTTAACACCTTATACTGTAAAACTAAGTGTTTAGAATCTGAACACATAACTGAACACTTTTCTGTTACGCTTTTTAAACGTGTCAAGGCATTTTGAATTTCAATTCAGAACATAAACACCAGAACATGTTTATTCGCTGTAACACTTTTTAAACACATGAACAAGTTTATTCAGCACAAGTCGTTAAGGTTTAAACACTAAACACTTTCGAGTGAATGTGAGAGATACCCACCCATGACTGTGTTTGATAGTGACAGAGACATGGTTGTTGCATTCAATAACTTCTTAATCTGAAACCTTCACCAAGTGTCTGTCTAAGTAAATATTTCAATTAAAAGTAAACCCTTTATGACCACATATAATATATTTCATAAGGCCTAGTTATCCTCAACATTGTGGTCTGAAATCCTGGCACATGGGCAACATCAGACCTCCAAGTCACAATATGCTTCTTTCTGAAGTGATTAGTAGTTCTATCAGAATCTAGTCAGAGGAAGGATAGTAAACAATTTGAAAATGTTATCACCCACAACCTGCACTAAGCGTGACTGGTATGGTGAAGGACGTTATTAACTAAATTACCTGAAACTGAAACAACCATCTCAGTAACGGGTGCAATAAATTCAACTGCTTACAGATTGGATTAGCTTTTGATAATTTATCTTTCTATGGTATAAGATCAATTAATCAATCAATGTGCATGAGGAAACATATACAGTGGGGAGAACAAGTATTTGATACACTGCCGATGTTGCAGGTTTTCCTACTTACAAAGCATGTAGAGGTCTGTAATTTTTATCATAGGTACACTTCAACTATGAGAGACGGAATCTAAAACAAAATCCAGAAAATCACATTGTATGATTTTTAAGTAATTAATTTGCATTTTATTGCATGACATAAGTATTTGATACATCAGAAAAGCAGAACTTAATATTTGGTACAGAAACCTTTGTTTGCAATTACAGAGATCATACATTTCCTGTAGGTCTTGACCAGGTTTGCACACACTGTAGCAGGGATTTTGGCCCACTCCTCCATACAGACCTTCTCCAGATCCTTCAGGTTTCGGGGCTGTCGCTGGGCAATACGGACTTTCAGCTCCCTCCAAAGATTTTCTATGGGGTTCAGGTCTGGAGACTGGCTAGGCCACTCCAGGACCTTGAGATGCTTCTTACGGAGCCACTCCTTAGTTGCCCTGGCTGTGTGTTTCGGGTCGTTGTCATGCAGGAAGACCCAGCCATGACCCATCTTCAATGCTCTTACTGAGGGAAAGAGGTTGTTGGCCAAGATCTCGCAATACATGGCCCCATCCATCCTCCCCTCAATACGGTGAAGTCGTTCTGTCCCCTTTGCAGAAAAGCATCCCCAAAGAATGATGTTTCCACCTCCATGCTTCACGGTTGGGATTGTGTTCTTGGGGTTGTACTCATCCTTCTTCTTCCTCCATCAGACCACATGACCTTCTCCCATTCCTCCTCTGGATCATCCAGATGGTCATTAGCAAACTTCAGACAGGCCTGGACATGCGCTGGCTTGAGCAGGGGGACCTTGCGTGCGCTGCAGGATTTTAATCCATGACGGCGTAGTGTGTTACTAATGGTTTTCTTTGAGACTGTGGTCCCAGCTCTCTTTAGGTCATTGACCAGGTCCTGCTGTGTAGTTCTGGGCTGATCCCTCACCTTCCTCATGATCATTGATGCCCCATGAGGTGAGATCTTGCATGGAGCCCCAGACCGAGGGTGATTGACCATCATCTTGAACTTCTTCCATTTTCTAATAATTTCGCCAACAGTTGTTGCCTTCTCACCAAGCTGCTTGCCTATTGTCCTGTAGACCAACCAAGCCTTGTGCAGGTCTACAATGTTATCCCTGATGTCCTTACACAGCTCTCTGGTCTTGGCCATTGTGGAGAGGTTGGAGTCTGTTTGATTGAGTGTGTGGACAGGTGTCTTTTATACAGGTAACGAGTTCAAACAGGTGCAGTTAATACAGGTAATGAGTGGAGAACAGGAGGGCTTCTTAAAGAAAAACTAACAGGTCTGTGAGAGCCGGAATTCTTACTGGTTAGTAGGTGATCAAATACTTATGTCATGCAATAAAATGCAAATTAATTACTTAAAAATCATACAATGTGATTTTCTGGATTTTTGTTTTAGATTCAGTCTCTCACAGTTGAGGTGTACCTATGATAAAAAATTACAGACATCTACATGCTTTGTAAGTAGGAAAACCTGCAAAATCGACAGTGTATCAAATACTTGTTCTCCCCACGGTAGGTGTTCTCCTGGTTGGAAACTGACTGGAAAAAGTTGACTATCATGTTTTATCTTGCATTCTAAACACCTGTGTTTAAGATGAGAACACTATTGTAAAATCTAAATGCCTAATGTTGAAGTTTTAAACACTGACGTTTAGGTTATAAAAGTGTCACGTTTCATGGTTTTAAAGTGTAGAGCTAATGCTTGACGTACTGTAGTTGAATAGTCTTCCATCTAATGATTTTACCAACAGATTTTCTATGGTTCAAATTTAATTTACAATTCACAGCTTCAAATAAAATAGGCCATAATCACTACGGATAATCCGTAGTCTTGCATTTCCAAACAATGTAAGAAAGACATAAACCGTGGGCCAACCATCAGAGACAACATTTTTCCTCTATTTTCCTCCAGCTGTACTAATGGCAGGATAGCACCCAGCTGTAAGCTATGTGACGGCTACTGTTACAACGGAGGTACCTGTCACCTGGACCCTGACACCAACCTGCCCTTCTGTCAGTAAGTACAGTAACTACTAGCAACGGCCTGGAATAACAATAGTTTAGGAAAGTTCTCTATTCATACTTTATTATTTATTTATTCTTCATTACCATTCAGTTATGCCCGGCAGGCTGGCCTATAGTGGAACCAAGTCTCATTGGTCTTTTATTCTAATGATTGATTTTTGAAAATAAGTGGTGGTGTGTAGAGGATTAATCGTTTTTTTTTTTTTTACACAGGGCTAAGATTCTAAGTAAAGAGAATGTTTGACACCAGTGGATGCAGGCCATGTCATAGCAGGATGTTAGGGCTCAATAAGAGAATGAGTCACACCTGGCTATGGGTCTAGATTTTTAGAAATCTAGCCCTCTGTGGCGGAGTAGAAGTAAGAAAGCTCTGCATGGGGTACAGCTACAGTCATTGAAAGTAAACTCAAACTACTGAAACATTACTGTTCAGAACGTATCACACTGTTCTTTTGTCAGTGTGTCTCCTCTCGGTGGTAGGTTTCAGGAGAAATAGTTTGTATTTTGATCCTCAGTGGTAAGGAGTGTGCACACACGCTATGAGCGGCAGTGTCTCAATGGCAATAACTGGTAGAGTACAATAGGTTAGCTCTCAGAGACCTGTGGGAATCATCCAGGAGAAAGAATGCTCTGCACTTCTGGTGGTCCACAAAGATTCATTTCAGCTCTGCTATTATCAGGTGTGGTTCAATGTTAAAGACCTCCCCACAAAGATGATTGGAAATCCATCTGAAAAGGCAAACCTTGTTGCTCTATCTTTTTACTGTCCCATTGTCCATTGTAGTTACAATTAAATGTGTGGCCATGGCTGGCACGATTCAAGGGATATAATCAATTTCTATGCAAATGATCCCATCTCATTTTCAACAAGGTTAACAGATCTAGATGATGTGGTTTATTCATTGGCTGCGAGGCATAGAGATTAGGTGCGATGATGGATACGTCTGTGTCAAGAAATCATAATGTTTGACCTTAAACTATAACAGAGTAAATTAATATCTCATCCAAGCCACCCCAGAAGCTCCACGAGCAGAAATATCCTCATTGAGATAGTAATTTGCAGATAACTGTCTTAAAGGTCTAAGGGATTTTCAAAACTCATCAGTGTGTTCCACCAGTAAATATAATCAGTGTATATAAACATAATGTGGGTATTATAATTGTTTTGATGAATTATCAAGATCAACATGTTCATAAATAATCCGAATTTGCTTATGTTTGTTATTTTTCTGTATTTAAATGTTTCTGTTAATTTTGTTAATAAATACTGTTTATAAGCTTAGTGCGAATTTATAACAACATACTGAACAAAACTATATATTTTTGCCTCAATGGATGTAGCTGTCATTAGTTTAGCTAAACATAACGTTTCTAGTTTAGTTTTTGATTAATTTATTCATCATGAATGATAAAAACATAGATTATTTTAGAACAAATCTATGTAGTATTTTGTTTGTTGCCATGCTGAAGGGTTTCCATCTGCCTATACAGTACCTACCCTGCTCGTTTTTATCAATACCACTCCACCACACTGTTTTACAGCTGCACGTCAGGGTTCAAGAACCAACGTTGTGATGAGCTGGCCAACCCATGTGATTACTTCTGTCAGAATGAGGGGATGTGCACTATCACTGCCCTTAACAAACCCCGCTGCAAGTAGGTCCCTCCCTACCTCACTTCCTGTGTCTGTTCCAGAGGTCTCACCCTCCCCCCTCCCACCTCTCGTCATTCAGCTTCATTTCAGCAAGTGTGATGCTCTATTTGGCTGTTCCAGAGGTCTCACCCTCTGCCCTCTCGCCATTCAGCTTCATTTCAGTCAGTGTGATGGTCTATATAACACTTTCTCACCTCTAATACAGTACATACTCCCTCTTTAACTCACTGCTAACCAACTGCGTCTCATACAGCCCGAGCTGACATGCCCTTCGAGTGACATTCAAGTGCTGTCTGATTGTGAATATAGGGGACCTGTTGTGATCAATGCATGTATGGTGATTCATTTTGCAATGTGTTAGGAGACAGAAAATGTGGACTTGGGACTTTGTGGAGATGCATAGTCTCTGCTGTAGCTCTGAAATAAGTCAATTCAAAAGCATGTCAGTGATTATGTTGTAAATATATTACAAACCCTTTTACAAATCCGCTCATCAGTTGCTCATCAGCTCTTACCTAGTATTTTCCCTAACAATATTTTATTTGATATTTTACCCATCAGAAAGGATGATTCATTTGTAACTTGTTTCCCCCATTAAAATGCATGATTGTTTGTGCTGTGACATTCTTTCTATGGGGGAATGATTCATTGTCTGTATGCGTGGGATGCAATTCTCATTCTTATTCCTGATCATTTGGTGTTGTGATTCTTGCAGTGCATGTAATTTAGTGTAATTTCATTCCTTCCATCACCAACCAGTTGCAGTGGTCAGACTGCTCATGCTTTACAGACACATCAGCGTCAATCACGCTCAATAGGAAATCACCTCCTCTAACTCCTCTAACTTTGGCATTTATCACTCCCATTGGATCCCATCCAAACAGCAAACTAGATGAGTCTGTTTTCTGCTGAATATTCATCCTGTTAATCTACTCACTATGTTATCTACCCATGTATCTACCCAGCACTACTTTTAGATGTCTTCTATACGCTATGTATGAAATATACTGCACAAAGGGATTCTCTAAGAAAATCTGTAAAAATGTTATCCATGGTTGACTGTCTGTTCCCATAGCACTCCTTTTATGTGGGGATTAAGGTAGAGACAGCAGAAGACTATAGTTGATTTTCTCCTCTCTGATTGGTCTGTTCCAGGTGTTCAGTCAATTGGGCAGGCACACAGTGTGAAAGGCCCGCCCCCAAGAGCAGCAGATCAGACAACACCAGTGGAGGTGAGTGCAGAAGTCACATGACTCACCCAGTGTCATACATGGCATACTACCCATCCTCTAGTTAGCCTTTTGGTTGGGGTCAGGTGGATTGTCTACTAGTGTAATGTATACCCCCATTTGCTTTGGCTGTTCAAGAAAGCTAATTGGATGACATTTTACATACGCTCTTATCCAGAGTGACTTAGGGTTGTAATTAGGGTTAAGTGCCTTGCTCAAGGGCACATCGACCGAATTTTCACCTAGTCGGCTCTGGGATTCAAACCATCAACCTTTCTGTTACTTAACCACTAGGCTACATGTTAACTCTTGTAATGAGACTGTGATAACACTAACAGTCATCCTGAATGCTAAAGCAGTTGCATCCTTTCTCTTCTCTGTTTCAGGGAGCATAGCCATCATCGTACCTCTGGTCCTGCTGGTGATCTTGATCACAACGGTGGTGGCAGGCATTTTCATCTGCAAAAGAAGGCAGAGGTACAATATGTTAAGCCTAATAAGTAACTATGCTGGCTGGTGTTTCCTGTGATATGTGTATAAGTATGTGTTGTGATTTAGATTTTGTGTTTGCCAAGAATGCCTTTATTGTTGCCAGACACATTTTCATATGTGACAATAAAGTATTAAATTCAATTGAAATGTTGGTGTGGCTGGTGATCTCAGGTACCAGCCAGGTCACCCGTGATACAAGTCAGTATTCGACGTCCATCTATGTCTGAGGACGTCAGGAGATGACGTGGATACCGGCCACTAGGGGCAACAGGGAGCGCTTTTACCTTCAAGTAGGTTTCGGTTTTGCTAGGGTGTTGGGGATGGCGGATGTGCGTAAGCACCTGCCTCTGATTCCATAGGTTGCAAGTTGAAATCCAGCAATAGAAAGTCATTTTTGTTTTAAGCCTATCCCAAACCTTAACCCTTACCTTAACTATTCGGAGTTAATGCCTAACATTAAGATTTCAGAGTTTTTGCCTAAACCTAACCCTAACCTTAAATATTCGGAGTTAATGCCTAAACTTAACCTTAAACACTTCGAAATTTGACATTTAGAACAACTTCGAAATTTGACGTTTGAGAAACATGGATGAACGTCTAATTCTAACGTGAGACTGTGAGAGCTAGTTGCAGGTACAACATACCATGAATTATCTTATGTTAATGATTGCTAATTGTCCTCCTCCTCCTCCCAGGGGGAAGAGGGTGACGAGGCAGCCCATGACGAATGGAGGGATCAACGTGGAGATAGGAAATCCTACTTACAACATGTATGAGGTCGACCATGACAACCATGCAGATGCTGGCAGCCTTCTGCGACCAAACTTTACACTGGACCCTCATAAGGTTTGTATTGGCAGACTATGTACAAAATCAGCCATTCATTTTGTGCGTAATAACATGTTGTATGAATGCAAAAACTCAGTTTGGCTCACTTTTGTAAGTGTGTATTGCTAAAGAAAATCTTTATTTGTGTTTCTATATTTATCTGGGATAATATAATTTACAGAGACATAACATTGTAGTCTCATCTGTTAATACATCAGTATGAAACCATCATCCATCTATTTCTGGTATCATAGTCATGTAATCAGTGGTGTGATTAACAAAATGAGGCTTTAGCATCTCCTCATGTGGCATACCAAATCAAATTTCTACCAGACTTTCTATCCACTGTATTATCTGATAAAGATGTGTAGTTACATTAGCAGATGGAGCACAAACCTCAGGTATGTGGAGAGAAACATTATTCAGGCGCTCTGTACCAAGGGAACATTTTATCTTCTGTTGATTCATTTTCTTCATGGGCCTCAACACGCACTAACGCCCCGAATATCAAATCAATCATAACAGCTTTACTGATCTATCTTGTTATCTTACTTGCCTGCTACCACTTCAAGCTTAATGCATTTGCTTCTCGCCATGCCAACTTTGACATCTGGTAGTGTCAGTCCCACCTGTATCCCTTTGCATTAGAAAGGTCAGGCTGACTGAATCACAACTAGATAACTCCACTAACACTTCTTTATCATATCAGTGAATACTGTAAGAGGAAGTTGCCATGGTTTTTGTTGAATTTGCATCCACAATCTAAGTTCCAAAACCAAAAATGGTTGGACAATTGTTGATCTCATTTTCTAATCATTACATCATTTTGAGTTCCTCACTGATGTTGATATATAATTGATTTTCAGTTGGATTATATCCATATACACTTGTGGTAAAGTGTATGCTGGTTGAGAACAGCTTGGCCTTGTGGCATGGTGAACATTGGCAGAACTTGTGTGTTGCAGGGCTGGTGTGTGAAGTCCAGTGACCCTCGCACCCTGGGCATACATACTGTGCCCAAGGAGGTGATACCTGGACAGGTGATTTCTCCCATCCTTCCCCTTAGTTTAGACAACCAACCTCGTACAGAGGATGCATACTGTCATGCCATTCACTATAGAAGGAACAGAGAGCTGTAGAATGTTTGTAAATCTCCTTTTGGAAGGAAACCTGCAAACTTGCAAACCTGCAAACTTGTCCATGAAAAGGAAGCTGAATGACACTTTTAGAAATGCCAAAGTAGTCTGTTGCTTCTGTGTCGAGAAATAATATTGCAATACTGTGTGTATTGCAGTGCAACATATCAGATAACTTTTTTTAAAGGGATACTTCGGGATTTTGGCAATAAGGCCCTTTATCTACTTCCCCAGAGTCAGATGAACTTGTGGATACCATTTTTGTCTCTGCATGCAGTTTGACGTAAGTTGCCAACTAGCGCTAGCGCAATTGCTAACTGGCGTTAGCGCAATAACTGGAAGTCTATTGGTATCTACTAGCATGCTTGAAGATACCCATAGACTTCCAGTCATGGCGCTAACGCTAGTTAGCATTGGCTCACAAAACCACGTCTGACTTCCTTCATACTGGACACGGAGACATACAAATGGTATCCACAAGTTCATCTGACTCTGGGGAAGTAGACAAAGGGCATCATTGCCAAAATCCTGAAGTATCCCTTTAAGTTACAGTAAGTTATAGTAAATTACAGATAGTACTGTAGGAAATCGTCATCATACAGGGCACCAGATTATAAAGGGTATTTTCTTATGCATTGTTGAGAGCTGTGCTAATATGATACAGTGAGGGAAAAAAGTATTTGATCCCCTGCTGATTTTGTATGTTTGCCCACTGACAAAGAAATGATCAGTCTATAAATTTAATGGTAGGTTTATTTGAACAGTGAGAGACAGAATAACAACAACAAAATCCTGAAAAACGCATGTCAAAAATGTTATACATTTATTTGCATTTTAATGAGGGAAATAAGTATTTGACCCCCTCTCAATCAGAAAGATTTCTGGCTTCCAGGTGTGTTTTATACAGGTAACGAGCTGAGATTAGGAGCACACTCTTAAAGGGAGTGCTCCTAATCTCAGCTTGTTACCTGTATAAAAGACACCTGTCCACAGAAGCAATCAATCAATCAGATTCCAAACTCTCCACCATGGCCAAGACCAAAGAGCTCTCCAAGGATGAAAGGGACAAGATTGTAGACCTACACAAGGCTGGAATGGGCTACAAGACCATCGCCAAGCAGCTTGGTGAGAAGGTGACAACAGTTGGTGCGATTATTCGCAAATGGAAGAAACACAAAATAACTGTAAATCTCCCTCGGCCTGGGGCTCCATGCAAGATCTCATCTTGTGGAGTTGCAATGATCATGAGTACGGTGAGGAATCAGCCCAGAACTACACGGGAGGATTTTGTAAATGATCTCAAGGCAGCTGGGACCATAGTCACCAAGAAAACAATTGGAAAACACACTATGCCGTGAAGGACTGAAATCCTGCAGCGCCCGCAACGTCCCCCTGCTCAAGAAAGCACATATACAGGCCTGTCTGAAGTTTGCCAATGAACATCTGAATGATTCAGAGGAGAACTGGGTGAAAGTGTTGTGGTCAGATGAGACCAAAATCGAGCTCTTTGGCATCAACTCAACTCGCCTTGTTTGGAGGAGGAGGAATGCTGCCTATGACCCCAAGAACACCATCCCCACCGTCAAACATGGAGGTGGAAACATTATGCTTTGGGGGTGTTTTTCTGCTAAGGGGACAGGACAACTTCACCGCATCAAAGTGACGATGGACGGCGCCATGTACCGTCAAATCTTGGGTGAGAACCTCCTTCCCTCAGCCAGGGCATTGAAAATGGGTCGTGGATGAGTATTCCAGCATGACAATGACCCAAAACACACGGCCAAGGCAACAAAGGAGTGGCTCAAGAAGAAGCACATTAAGGTCCTGGAGTGGCCTAGCCAGTCTCCAGACCTTATTCCCATAGAAAATCTGTGGAGGGAGCTGAAGGTTCGAGTTGCCAAACGTCAGGCTCGAAACCTTAATGACTTGGAGAAGATCTGCAAAGTGGAGTGGAACAAAATCCCTCCTGAGATGTTTGCAAACCTGGTGGCCAACTACAAGAAAGGTCTGACCTCTGTGATTGCCAACAAGGGTTTTGCCACCAAGTACTAAGTCGTGTTCTGCAAAGGGGTCAAATACTTATTTCCCTCATTAAAATGCAAATCAATTTATAACATTTTTGACATGCATTTTTCTGTATTTGTTGGTTGTTATTCTGTCTCTCACTGTTCAAATAAACCTACCATTAAAATTATAGACTGATCATGTCTTTGTCAGTGGGCAAACGTACAAAATCAGCAGGGGATCAAATACTTTTTAACCTCACTGTATGTCTGTCAAATATCTAACAGCATTTTCACTTCCTCAATGCAGCCCTTGAACTACTCCAACCCAGTGTATGCAAAGATCTACCTTGACGGACAGAACTGTCGCAAACCGGTCATCAACATAGACGAGAGGAGAGGGCTACTCCCAAAGAAACTAGAGGGGACAATTCGCGAAACCGCAGCATAGCCTGACAACACTTTCTACTCCTTTTATACGACAGTGTACAAATGTATAAAAACAAGGAAAATAATAATTTTCTATTTCCTATCAGGCTCCCGTCCTCTCGGTTAGGTTTGTTGGTTTTTAGCATCAGCATTACCTCCTCAGTTGTGTGCTGAACACTTTTATTCAAATGTTTTAGTTTCCGTTGTTTGCTTTCTGTTTGTCGAACATTTGTTATACAGCACTATTTAGTATATACTGAATGACACTGAAGTAAAGCTGCTGATTTACAAAATACCTTATTAACACCGGAACTCTTCTGTTGTAAACAAACGTCAAGATCGATACAGTACTTATTGCTGAACCTGTATATGTCACTCTCTTGTTAGGCTGAGATTTAATCAAATTAAGCGTTAACCGGCGATAGTCGACACCCGCATAGCTGATGTTTTGTCAGTGTTGGAGGTGGAACTGTGTTGAATCTGTGAAATCGGTGAGCAGCTTCTCTTTTGATAATTGTTACTAAGCCACATCCGTCCCACTTGCGTTAGAAGTTCAGAACGAGAAAGTGTAGGCTATATACAGTACCAGTCAAAAGTTTGGACACACCTACTCATTCCAGGGTTTTTCTTTATTTTCACTATTTTCTACATTGTAAAATAATAGTGAAGACATCACAATTATGAAATGACACATATGGAATCATGTAGTAACCAAAAAAGTGTTAAACAAATCAAAATATATTTTATATTTGAGATTCTTCAAAGTAGCCACCCTTTGCTTTGATGACAGCTTTGCACACTCTTGGCATTCTCTCAACCAGCTTCATGAGTTAGTCACCTAGAATGCATTTCAATTAACAGGTGTGCCTTGTTAAAAGTTAAATTTGTGGAATTTATTTCCTTCTTAATGCATTTGAGCCAATCAGTTGTGTTGTGGCAAGGTAGGGGTGGTATACAGAAGATAGCCCTATTTGGTAAAATACCAAGTCCGTATTATGGCAAGAACAGCTCAAATAAGCAAAGAGAAACGACAGTCCATCATTACTTTAAGATACTTTGTCAGTCAGTACGTAAAATGTCAAGAACTTTGAACGTTTCTGCAAGTGCATTCGCAAAAACCATCAAACTGGCTCTCATGAGGACCGCCACAGTTACTTCTGCTGCAGAAGATAAGTTCATTAGAGTTACCAGCCTACGAAATCGGCAATTAACTGCACCTCAGATTGCAGCCCAAATAAATGCTTCACAGTTCAAGTAACAGACACATCTCAAGATCAACTGTTCAGAGGAGGACGTGTGAATCAGGCCTTCATGGTCGATTTGATGCAAAGAAACCACTATAAAGACACCAATAATAAGAAAAGACTTGCTTGGGCCAAGAAACACGAGCAATGGACATTAGACCAGTAGAAATCTGTACTTTGGTCTGATGAGTCCAAATTTGAGATTTCTGGTTCCAACCGCTGTGTCTTTGTGAGACGCAGAGTAGGTGAACGGATGATCTACGCATGTGTGGTTCCCACTGTGAAGCATAGAGGACTAGGTGTGATATTGTGGGGGTGCTTTGCTGGTGACACTGTCTGTGATTTATTTAGAATTCAAGGCACACTTAACCAGCATGGCTACCACAGCATTCTGTAGCGATATGCCATCCCATCTGGGTTGCGCTTAGTGGGACGATCATTTGTTTTTCAACAGGACAATGACCCAAAATACACCTCTAGGCTGTGTAAGGGCTATTTGACCAAGGAGAGTGATGGAGTGCTGCATCAGATGACCTGGCCTCCACAATCACCCGACCTCAACCCAATTGAGATGGTTTGGGATGAGTTGGACCGCAGAGTGAAGGAAAAGCAGCCAACAAGTGCTCAGCATATGTGGGAACTCCTTCAAGACTGTTGGAAAAGCATTCCTCATGAAACTGGTTCAGAGAATGCCAAGAGTGTGCAAAGCTGTCATCAAGGCAAAGGGTGGCTACTTTGAAGAATCTAAACTATAAAATATATTTTGATTTGTTTAGCACTGTTTTGGTTACTACATGATTCCACATGTGTTATTTCATAGTTTTGATGTCTTCACTATTATTCTACAATGTAGAAAATAGTACAAATAAAGAAAAATGGCAATGTCTGCTTTGGTGTCACCTGGGGAATTTGACAGCGCTCACGCATATTCACCTCAGACACAGTCAAAACATCAGCTATGCGGATGTTGGCTAAAGCAGATCTGATTGAATTGGGGCCTCAGTGGAACCAACACCTTGTTATTTTGATGCAGTATACAATACTAAAGCAGGTCTATATATTTTTTTCTGAACAAATTATATATCATCTTATAAACAACTATAACACTTTGAGATTGCTCAAGTTTTAATTGCCATGGTTTCTATTGTCATTGATTTCCTCAGAACAAAAACTGTTAATCTTCACAATAACATGTTATCATTTCATGGTTTCATACCTGAGCAATGAAGCTTGTATTCTGTCTTTGTGTTTGTATCGTTTGATTCAGCCAAGATGGATACAATCCAGCAGTGGCCAAGGTTAGTTTTAAGAGGGTTATTTTCCGTTAACCCTCTAATTCAGTTCTTTACAGTATTATATCATCATGTTCATGTAATAATTCCAAACATATAAATTTGCTCTGCTACAAATATAAGATATTTTACTGAGGTGACTGAAATGTATATTCCATCTAAGATGTTCTGTTTGGATCACAGAGATTATTGAAACTCAACATGAATGTTCTGAGAACAGAATCAAAGACATTCGTATTTTTGTAGGTCTCTTGTTCCAACAACATACTGTATCTGTATCAACTTTACAGCATAAGGCTGTAAACACGGAAAAGGATTTAACACGACTCTACAGCTACAAAGTTACTTTAGATAATTATAAAGATACTCTCTGTTACTTTCAGAAAAGGAAAGACGATAGATATAACATATTTTATAATTTTGTATTTGATTTGTATGTTGTTTGGCTGCTTGTATTTTGAAGAAATGTATTAAATGTAAGTTCTTTTATATAAAATGTAAATCAATATAAAATAAAGGGGGCTTATTTCCATTTCAAAAGAATTATTTGGGCTTCTGAAATCTCTGCTTGATAATGGCGCTAACATCAGACTTCAACACTATACAGCTAGTGCTTAAGCAAGACACCTGTTGGAACATTTCCCTTACCTCACATGAAGGGATTTAAGTGACAAAGCTGTCATATTTCCTGGGTTTGAGTGGTCCCTGACCTAACAAGTCAATCACCAGCTGTGACATCTTATCTGTGGTATGAAACAGGCTCAAAGGACAGGAGGATTAGTGTGTGTGTTTGTGTGAAGGCCAAGTGCATTCATTACCTTGTACGATGAACACGCCATCAACGCCCGCCACACAGCACACTGAATAGTAATTCAGTCCCTGAGAGTTTTACAACACAACGGCCGATTATCAACACCCCTCTGTGTTTCACCTGCTCTGTCACCATGGCAACTGCACAACCGAGAGGGAGGACAGACCGACTGACTGCTCTTTGTCCAGTGCTGCTCCCAGCTCCGTCCCCTGGCATTTTCCTCCCCTGCTATCAACATGAATCTGAGCAGCTAAAGTGCTGCTATCTGGGAGGGGAAAGTGTTGCTATTTGATGTGGCTAACCTCTGGCTTATCTCCAGATTCTGAGAGGTTTTGAGTCTCACTGCTATCATTAGGAGCCAGACGTTTTATAGGTACTATAATTTATATTGCATTAGCCACATCAATCAGGTAGTCTTATGAGTAAATCTATTCCAAGAGCCATGTGATGTTACTGTAGCTACCCTATAGCTTCTACCTGTCAACAGTATGTTGGTGATGTGGTTTTAATTACATGCATTGAGAGCTTGTCTTTTGACCACAGTTGAATGATTTAGAGAACTTTCAAGATGTTATAAATACATTTAGCATATTTGATAACCTGTCAATTGTACATTGGTGATGAGGTCTTCACGGCACACTTTGAGAAAACATCTGTTGAATGTTTAGCTAGAAAACTGTCAAACCTGACAATACGTTGTGTTTACCTTGAGGATTAAGTTACCTGTCGATTAGATTGTATGATGGTAAAGTGGGTTACATTACAAACCTGCTTTGAGAGGAAATAAAATGGTTTCTGAACTTTTAACTACAAAAACATTGCAAACTTAAAACATTACTATATTTCTGACCTTGCGCATGTAAGTACATGTCACTTGTATGTTGCTGAAGTGGGTTACATTACATGACATCCATTGAGAAGGAAGACAACTGCTGAATGTTTGTGACCTTGAGGAGTGAATGGTGATAGCCATAATGATGGTGTGGTGGTGATGAGTGTGTCTGAGTGATTAATGCAGCAGTGTGTTTGATGAAACCAAACTGATTGCACTGCTTTGAGTCTAGCCACCTTATCAAGTTCAGTCTGATGAGCAATTACCTGCACTATATCTTATTCATGTCCTTTCCTCACTGTTGGATTTGATACTCCAGGAGTGTGAATAGGGTTGATGAAAAGTAAAGCTACTTATTAGCGTTATTTACTTGGACAGTGGATAGTCCTCCCCATGTCTGGCTGGCTACTCTCTGGCCAATTTGTGATTTGAATCAGACTAAAGGAGAATAGTTTGACACAGCTTGGCGTACTCCATCTGAAGTGATATGTAGGCCTACCTCCTGTATTACTGAAAGAAAGACAGAGATGAGGTATGAACAGAGGTCTACCGTCTACAATGATACTAAACTCACGCAGAAGTATGATGTACTTCTGCTGTGGAAATACATCTGAGGAGGAAAGCTCTCACAGTCCCACTCAGTTGGCCTATAAAGTGCATCAAAGGAAAGGGAGAAAAACAACAAACCCAGAGCTCTCAGGATCCTGTCCCCCTCCACTCACCTTGATCTATTTTCCACTTAGCAAGCATCATCAGACTTCTGCATAAACATCACACTCCTGCTCTTATTGATTCTGTCATCCCCTGGACTGAATCAATAAAAGCTGGAGTCGTATTCACATT